CGATGCCGAGTCCGCAGGCAGGGGGTCGGCAGGCCAGCGGGTGCGGTCCGGTGTGCTGTCCAGCGCCGGGTGTGGGCCGACGAATCCCAGCGACGGTGAGTCAGCCGCCGTCCTGGTGCCCTAGCAGGCCTGCCTGCCTGCTTGCTGAGCCTGACCAGCGACGGCGGTGCAGGTCAGGCGGCCAGGCCAGACAGTCCGGTGTGCATGCCTGCAGCACGCTGCCTCTGGGCGGCGGCGCTGGTCGGGGAGCGAGCCTGTGGCCTGGCCTGCAAGCTTCTTCGCGCGAGCTGCAACGCCGCGGCCTGTGCGGCGTGGAGGCAAAGTACGTGTAGGGGCAGCAGGCCAGTTCACGCTGGGACCGCGCCGTAAATATCGGGGGGCCAGACATCGGGTGGGGCGGCGATGCAGTCTTAATCTCGGGGCTTGGGCTATGGGGTTGCGATTTCGGCCGGGAACATCATACGCGCATTTGCTACGGCGGCGAGGGCTACGGTAGAGATCTGTGGCCGCGGCGGACGAGACGAGTGGAAAGGGGCGTCAGTGAAAAGGCGGCAGGGGGGGCGTCAGTGGGACGGCGGCAGGGGCGGCGTATGGTGGTCTCGAGGGAGGAGCGAGGCGGGGACTCACGGGATGCATTGCGGGGACCTCGACAAGGCAGCGAGGCAAGGGCAGGCCGTGCGAGGCAGACAGAGGAGCAGCTAGGAAGAGGGGAGTGATTATGGCCACCAAGCGACGGCTGAGAAAGACCTGTGAGGGCGAATGCAAGGCAAGGTGAGCGCGCGCAGCAGGGCGCAGCGACGATGGCGACGGTGAACGCGAGCGGCAGGGATCAAGAGGAGGCGCAGCAGAGTGCGGGCAATGCGCGTTTATAGAGGCAGGCGAGAGGTCGATGGCGGGCCTCGGTGGACGATGGGAGTGGACGGTCGTCGGGAGGTGGATAGGAGGATAGGAGGATAGGAGGATAGGAGGATGGTGGTTGGTGGGATGGCGGACAAAAGGCTAGGGCTTGCCAGCGCACACAAGGTGCCGCGGGGGTCGCACAAGATCGAGCGAGCGCTCCGGGCCGAGCGAAAGGGCCGCGCTCGGCTGCTTACCTAAGCCGAGCGGGGGACCCTGTCTGGCCAAGGCTTTGTGATTTTTTCCTGGCGGGCTGTGGGGCCGCCTGCGCCGTTCAAAATTTTGGGCGAGATCTTAGACTGGCTGCTGCCTCCACGGGGTCGGCATCTTCCAAGCCCCTCTCTCTCGCGCTCCGTCCACCATCCTTGCCACCCGTTCGCGACGCCATCCCTGTATCGCCGGCGAACTGATCGCACCGCCTCGACCGTCTTCATACCCACCGCATCTTTCGTAATCGGCGAGGGCCACCGCCTCACCCGACCCGACCCGACCCGACCCGCGCCGCGCCGCGCTGCGACCCTAGCTCGCCACTGCGACTGCCGCCTCCGCTCGTGCCGCCACGATGGCCGACGCCCAGCAGACCAACAAGGCGCACCGCAAGGCCCAGGCGGGGCCCAAGTCGGAAAAGGCCAAGCGGGCGAGCAAGCACCAGAACGGCTTCAATGCAAAGGTGAGTACCCGTGCGGCGAGGCGCGGCGCGGCGTGGCTCGGCTGACGACCGACCTGAACGACAATCTCTACTCCTCCGCCACGATACTGTGCGGCCCCTCGCTCTGCGGCCCCTCGCTCTGCCCGCCACTGCGACAGGCGTTCATCTCTGCCAACCCGCGCACGGCTGAAAAGCAGATCCGGCGGAATGCGGAAAAGAACCAGAAGCGATACCATGTGCCGATGGCGGACCGCACGCCCGAGGACGAGCCGCCGCCGATTATTGTGGCCGTCGTGGGTCCCGAGGGCGTTGGCAAGACGACGCTGATGCGCAGCCTGATCCGGCGGTACACCAAACACACGATTGCCGAGATCAAGGGCCCGGTGACGGTGGTGGCGGGCAAGAAGCGGCGGATCACGTTTGTCGAGTGCAACAACGACATCAACTCGATGATCGACATTGGCAAGGTGGCCGACCTGGTGCTGCTCATGATCGACGGCAGCTTCGGCTTCGAGATGGAGACGATGGAGTTCCTCAACGTGCTGCAGTCGCACGGCTTCCCCAAGGTCATTGGCGTGCTGACCCACCTCGACCTGATCAAAAAGTCAAAGACGCTGCGGGCCACCAAGAAGCGGCTCAAGCAGCGCTTCTGGACCGAGATCTACGACGGCGCCAAGCTCTTCTACCTCTCGGGCATCATCAACGGCCGCTACCCGGACACCGAGATTGTCAACCTGAGCCGCTTCATCAGCGTCATGAAGTTCCGCCCTCTGGTCTTCCGCAACGCCCACCCGTACCTGCTGGCCGACCGGCTCGAGGACCTCACCTCGCGCGAGGCCATCCGCAGGGACCCCAAGATGGACCGCACCATCACCGTCTACGGCTACCTCCGCGGCACCCACCTGCGCTCCAGCCAGCGCGTCCACATCCCCGGCGCCGGCGACCTCACCATCTCCTCGGTCGAGAAGCTCACCGACCCGTGCCCGCTGCCGACGCAAGAGAGCGAAAAGCGGCGCAAGCTGTCCGAGAAGCACAAGCTCATCCACGCGCCCATGAGCGACGTCGGCGGCGTCATGTTCGACAAGGACGCCGTCTACATCAACGTGCCCGGCAACTTTACCAGGAACGCCGACGGCGAGACCGACACGCCCGCGGGCGAGGGAGAGCAGATGGTCATGGACCTCCAGGACGCCCGCGTCACCCTCGACGACCGCGCCGCGCGCGGCGAGCTGCGCCTCTTTGAGTCGTCGACGTCGGCGCTGCGGGCAGACGATCCTGCCAGCGACGACGCCGCATCGGCCAAGTCGAGGGGCAAGCGGACTCGCCGCGCCGCCTTTGACGACGTCCGCCTCGACGACGACGAGCTGGGCGACGACGACGATGGCGACGAGGAGGAGGACGACGACGACGGCCAGCTTGACGAGGAGGAGGACGGCGAGGACATGGACGACGACGAGGGTCGCGAGCGGAGGAGCGTCGACCGTCGCGGCCGGTCCCTCGCCCGGCCCATGCCCGGCCAGGACAGCGACGGAGACGAGGCCGACAAGGGCAAGATCGCCTACGCCGACAGCGACTCGGACATGGGCCTCGGCAGCGACCAGGAGGACGCCGAGGATGAGGATGACGAGGAGGACGAAATCGCACCGTGGAAGCGTAATCTGGCCGGCCGCGCCGAGTCGGTCGTGCTAGCCAATCGCCGGAGAAAGGCGGCGGACCTGACGCGGCTCATCTACGCCTCGGACAAGACGCCAGAGCAGATCGCCAGCGGCGACATCTTTGACGACGACGACGACGACGACGCCGACATCGAAAAAATGGCCCAGGCCGACGACGGCGACGACTTCTTCCGGCCCGCGCAAAAATCCAGCGGCACCGTCCACAAGGGCCCGCTCAACGAAGAGGTCGACGAGTGCCCCGACCAGACCCGCCAGCCCATCGACGCCGCCGCAGTGTCGCGCTGGGAGAGCGAGAGGGTGCTCGACTCGATCCGGCACCTCTTCATCACCGGAGACGAGCCCGACAACCTCGAGGAGCGCAAGGACGGCAAGCGGAACGTGGCCAGCGACGATGAGGACGACGACGACGATGACGAGGAAGACGGGGACGAGGGCGACGACGGCAACAACGAGTCGGCCCGCGACGCTGCGCTGGCCGCCAAAAAGGCGGCGCTCAAGCGTCGGTTCGACGAGCAGTACGACGACCCGGACGCCGAGGGGGCGGGCGACTGGTACGACGAGCAAAAGGACCTGCTGGCCAAGCAGGCCGAGCTCAACCGCGCCGAGTTTGCCGACGAGGACGAGGACACGCGCCACCTGGTCGAGGGCTTCCGCCCGGGCGCCTATGTCCGCATCGAGCTGTCCAAGGTGCCGTGCGAGCTGGTCGACTACTTTGACCCCAGCTTCCCGCTCCTCGTCGGCGGCCTGCTGGCGTCCGAAGAGACGTTCGGGTTCGTCCAGGTGCGCATCAAGCGCCACCGCTGGCATCACAAGATCCTCAAGACCAACGACCCGCTCATCTTCAGCCTGGGCTGGCGCCGCTTCCAGAGCATCCCCATCTACTCGCTCGACGACGGCACGCGCAACCGGATGCTCAAGTACACGCCCGAGCACATGCACTGCCTGGCCACCTTCTACGGGCCGGGCTCGGCGCCCAACACGGGCTTCTGCGCCTTCAACACGCTGGGCTCGGACAACCCGGGCTTCCGCGTCAGCGCCACGGGCGTCGTGCTCGACGTCGACGCAGGCACGCAAAAGATTGTCAAGAAGCTCAAGCTGACCGGCACGCCGGCCAAGATCTACAAGAAGACGGCCTTTATCAAGGACATGTTTACCTCGTCGCTCGAGGTGGCCAAGTTCGAGGGCGCGCACCTCAAGACGGTCTCGGGCATCCGCGGCCAGGTCAAAAAGGCGCTGGCCAAGCCCGAGGGCCAGTTCCGCGCCACGTTCGAGGACAAGATCCTGATGAGCGACATCGTCTTCCTGCGCGCGTGGTACTCGATCCAGCCGCGCCGCTTCTACAACCCGGTGACGTCGCTGCTCCTCAGCCCGGCGTCGCGCGCGTGGAAGGGCATGCGGCTGACGGGCGCGGTGCGGCGCGACGAGCGCATCAAGACGCCGCTCAACGTCAACTCGACCTACAAGCCCGTCGAGCGGCCCGAGCACCGCCAGTTTAACCCGCTCCGCGTCCCCAAGAAGCTCCAGGCCGCGCTGCCCTACTCGTCCAAGCCCAAGATGACAAAGGCACAGGGGAAGCCCACCTACCTCCAGCAGCGCGCCGTCGTGCTCGAGGCCGACGAGAAAAAGGCCGTCGCTCTGCTCCAGCAGATGCGCACCGTCCAGAAGGAAAAGGTGCAGAAGAGGTGCGTATCCGCTCCGCGCCGACGTCGTGTCGCCCGCCGACGTGCAGGTCCCGATTGCCGCTGACACTCGAGCCCCCTCCCACCTCCCCCACAGGCGCGACAAGCAGACGGAGCGGCGAGCGGTCAAGGCCAAGGAGGCCGAGAAGCAGGAGGAGCGGCGCGCCGAGAAGCGCAAGGCCGAGATGAAGGAAATTTACCGCGCCGCCGGCCTCAGGGATGCCAAGCGGCAAAAGCTCGCCGCCAAGCGCGGCGGTCGAGGCAGCGCGGGCGGCGGAGGAGACGACTGAGCATCGGTCCCCCGTCGGCGGTCTTCGCTACCCTTCCTCCATGTCACATCCATCCCTTGTATTCCATTCCATTCGTCTACTTTGCAACTCTATCCCGTGCCCAATTGACCCCGGCGTCGCCCGTGTTCGAACAGTCCCCCAACCCGAACCTGCGACTGCCTTGCCAGTGCAAAATGGCATGCAAAAAAGACGAGGGAAAAACCGCGGCCATGCCGCTCACAACGTCAAAAGGAAATGCCCTCAACCTGGGTCGAACAGGTGACCTTGCGATTTGTTTCGACTCAAAGAGCCGAAGGCCATTAACTGAAGATGCTTCAGTCGCACGCTCGTACCAGCTGAGCTATAAGGGCTTGGATGTCAGTCAAACGAAACATATAATATATGCATAATTGCTAAATTTTCACGCAGCTCGAATGCCCTACCCGGCACCGCTCCTCGCTGACTCTTGCCTGCCGACCCCCACCCACATCGCAACGATGTTCCGACCTTCGATCATCGGCGACGCGGCATGCTGACGTCCTGTCGCCTTCTGCGCCGGCTGCGACGGCTTCTGCGGTGGGCTTTGGCTTCCCTCTGACCAACGACGGCATGGCCACAGGGCCCATCGAGCAAAGCAGCTGCTCACACGACGGCGCCTAGAACGACCGAGGTTTCTCCCCCCGCGCCCGAGGCCAAGAACCCTCGCACCACAAAACTCCCCAGCATAGAAGAGCTGCTCGCAAGGTCAGGTGAGCTACTCCACGTGGACCCCACGGCGCCTTTATGGCTCCTTGAGTGCGGGTACCGGTACGTGCAGACGGACGTGCGCTGACCCTCAACGAAGCGAAAGGGCGGCAAGATGGCATGGCAGGCAGGGACCCGCTTTGCCTCCGACCCGATCGCGTGACCAACCGGCCCGTGAGGCTACAGTAGGCAGGGTCTTGCGCAGGAACACCCTCGTCGCGGCGATCTCGCCGACAAGAAGAGCAAACGGGAAGAAGGTCAGCAGCAGCAGCAGCGGGTGCGAGATCGCGGTGGACGCCAAGGCATGGCGCAGCAGAATTGCGGGGTAATGACCAGCTCTGCCTTGATCGCGTGCTTTCTGAGGCTCAGCATGGCAGCATGGACCGCCAGGAGCTCGTGGCTGGGTTGCAAGCCTTAAGTTCCAGACGGCAGGCTGTCCGGGATGTCACTCGACACAAACTCAAGCCACGACCGACGTCGAACGTCCGTCCAAGCCAGGGACGCGGAGAGGTCGGTCAAGGCGTCCTGCGCTACTCGGAAGGATGTCGGCCGACCGCAAGCATGCCTCCATCCGGTGGTCGGCGACGAAAAGGCAGGCAGGCGGAGATGGCCAGGAAAACGAGGCGTCCGTCCGTGGAGATAGCGTAGCCCGACGGCGGCCCGTATCTTATCTCCCCCTGGTCGGGGCGACCCTGCCAGGCCCGCTCCCTACACGAGGCACGGGGGTACGACAGCGGCTCGGCAGCAAGGGTCTCTTGGCAGTCGTCCTGATTGCTTCGGACCGGCCATCGCCGGTACAGAACTCGCGCCAAGACGACTACTGGCATGTGGTCGTGCAGCTGTTCACCGTTTGGTCAGACCCCGGCGACCAGCTCCCGGGACGGAAGGCATCTCGCGGAGCGAGTGAGCTGTGCCGCAGGGAGCGCTCGCCAAGTCCTCCGACGGCTGGCGCTCGGTGGCGAGTGTCCCTCTCGAGACCGCCAAGATACCGATACCGACTTCGGGTTTTCTCGGGTCGAGGTCCTCGCTCGTTGCCGTCCACGAGTCTTTTGCCGCCGGCACGGGTTGGTAACTGAGTAGCCCGGCGAGGCACGTTTTGCGACCCTCTATCTCTTTCTCGGAAAGGCCTCGGACGGTGGCGGCTATACCAGATGAGAGGGAGGAAGAAGGAGCCACGATGGCACCCAGAAGCTTGGCCCATTGTTCGCCGGTGGCCGAGGTCTTGGCGCTCGTGGCACCTCGCTCGCTCACCACGTACGACGCGCTGGCCAGTGCCACGCGATCAAAGCAGCTCCCAGGCGATCGCGAAGAGGCCAGGGCGGTCTGGTGCCTGAACCATGGACGGATGCGCAACGACGGACCGATCTCAATGCCGAGGAGCGCCTCCACGCCTGTAGGCCTGCCCGGGCGGCATCGGAGCTGTGGCAAAAGGGCAGGCAGGGCTGGCGGCCAAGGGCTTGGCATCGTCACGTCTTGCTGCTTGGCGTTGGCCCGATTCGAGTTTGCAGCCGGTGCCAGGTTTTCTTGGCGCCTTTTTCCTGGCCGATCGAAGACGCTGCCCTGGCAGAACGGCAGGCTAGGTCTTCCGTCCGGATGCCAGCCGACGACGTCGGTGAGCGACGTACACCTCCGGAGACAAGCAAGCCGTCTCCAGCAGGTTATCCTGCTCAGCTCGCCGACTGTTTGCGTGTTGCGGAGAGAGTGCCAGCGGTCCATCGACGTACACCATGCCGCCGGTACTTGGTCCGGATAGGCCGATTCACTTCGATCGCCAGCTAACGTAGCGCCGTCACCTGCTCGCTGAAGACGCTGGCGAGCTCGACTAACCAGCTGCTTGTCGGGACGGTCCGCCTCCCGGAAGCTAAGAAGGGGTGGTGGCGAGCGGGGTCGTCGAGCCTGGCTGACGGCCGCATGAAAGCCCCCTTCTCCGCCAAGGCTCGCAGCGGAACATTTTTGAGCTGGGCTGCAGCCCGGCGCTCTTGCTCTCGTCTGGTGCCTTTCGGCGAGGACCGAGAAGTTGAGGGCCGCAGGCTGGCAGCGTCGCGGCGGAGAGGCAGTCGAGGCACGCAGGCCCGGGAGGCAGAGGCACGGGTCCAGATGACGCAACCGGCGGATAGGGCCCCAGACCCAGGCCAGCAAGCAAGGCAATTTGTCGCCACCGGCCGCTTCCGCCAGCCCGAGGATGCTCGCTGGTCAAGTTGCGTTGGCGTCGTGCTCTTCGAGTCCGGATAGGATCGCCCACCGTCCCTACCAGAGCGTACATACTGGATCGCGTCCAGATCCGCCTTGCTGCCGCGCGGGCATCGATCTCCTGAGCGAGGGAAGAAGGGGGTTTTCGAAAGACTACGGAAGCAGCGGCGCGGGGCAAACAAAGCAAGGAAACAGCCCAGGCCGGGAAGGGCCGCCAAGAAGCTGCGGGGTTTTCCCGCTTCTACCGGGGCACAACGTACGGGCTATCGCGTAGCTGTCTCAACCGCTCCGACCCTACCTGCCTCTTCGGTACTTATCTCTGCCCTGGAGCCTCGTATCTCGTCATCGCCAAAACGTGCCGGCCGCTACCTTTCTCTTACGTACCGCAGCATCGATCGAGGGCAGCTGGCTCGCTCGCGATAAAGTGTCTTAGCATGGTCCTGTGATTCGGCCCCGGAACGTGGACGCACAGGTACACCCTCCCGTGGTACAGGCGGCTCGGCGTAGATCGATTGTTGGTGCCGCGAAGCATCATGGTCTCGCCCTGTTCATACATGGCCGCCGACGGCTGGCATCGAGATTGGCGTGCGTGGGCAGACTGACGCTGTGCCGCGGTGAGTCTCTCCCTAGCTCTGCCTGACTAGCTGATGGAAGCTGCGGAGAGCGAGCGAGCCGGCAAGCGGGGAAAGTGGGGCCTGCGTGACGGATGGAAAGACAGGCAGCGGCAGACGCAGCGGGCTGGATGCAGGCGAGCCGCTTCTGGGTCTCGGCCGCTTCCGGATGTCGGAGGGCCCACTGCCCAGCGCCAAGCCTGACGGCGCCCGCACCCTTCCCTCCCTCACCTCAGCCCATCCACGGCGGCGGCATCCCCACCTGCCCCTGCCCTGAAACCCAACGACGACGAAGGGCGATGCACGACCTGGAACCAAGATGGCTGGCTACGGCGGGAGGGAGGTCGACAGAGAGCTTGGCTCGAGGGCCTCAAAACTCCGATGGCCACGGCGATATTCCTGGGGCTGGCCGAGTGCCCACCTCCTCCTCCTCCGCCGCTGCAGCCACCGTCGTCGTCGCTATCGCCGCCGCCGCTGCCGCCTGGCCTGGCCGTCGTGGTCGTGTCGCGGCTGTCTTGGCGGGCAAGACCCGGCCGGCGAAATCGCACAGACGTAGCCGCTGAGCCTCTGCTCACCCGCTGCTCCTCGTCATAGCCGCTGCCGCGCCTTGTGTGCCGGTAGGCCATCCCCGTGCTGCACGCCAAGGCTGCCGGCTCCCTCAGCAGTCTTCTTGGCCCTCGCCGTCGACCTCGTCCTGCCGTCGTATCTGGCCCGGGTCGTCCCGAGCGCAGACTATAAGTACTTCGACGTTGCCGCCGGCGATGCCTCTCGCCCTCGTCTCGACCACCGATCAACCACCAACCACTCCTCCCTTCACCTTTCCCTTCACACGGCAAAGGCGACCTCCCATCCCGTCGAACGACAGCCGCGGCAGCAGCATCGCAGAGGGCACCTCTTCTCGACGCTCCCCTCTTCCACCATCGCCACCGCTGCGCGCACAATTGACTGGAAAAGACACCGCATCCCCAGCATCCACACTCACACGAGGTTTCCCTGAGTCTCAGGAAGCACCTCGCCGCGACGCCGCCGCATTGACGACCTTTTCGCGTCCGTAGCCCACCGTTCCGACCGCCCTCGACACCCACCGACGCGCCTCTGCACAATGGCCTCCGTACCCACCGGAAAGTCGGGCGACGAGCTCGACCCGCGCAACGCCACCAACGCCAACGAGAGCGTGGCAGCGGCCCAGGCAGCCAACCAGACCGGCCAGCAGGACCAGCAGCTCTCGCCAACAAACGAAAAGAACGGCCCGAGCGATGCGCACTCGAGCGACTCGACAAAGGCGGTTCCCGTGTCCAAGGACAGCGGAGACGGCCCAGAGATCTCCATGTCCGATGCCCTCACCCGCTCCTACGCCTACCCGATGTCTTCGGTGCTCCGGGCGCTCGGCGTCCAGGACACCGACCACGGTCTCGACGACTCGACTGTGGCCGGCCGCAAGCAGGAGTTCGGACCCAACCAGCTCGAGGGCAGCGACGAGATCAGCATCTTCAACATCATCATGCACCAGATCGCCAACGCTATGACCTTGGTGAGTGACAGCGGCGCGGCGCCCGCGATAGACGCACGGCTCGTCGCACGGTCGAAGACGACAGGGAAGCTGACGATTGCCATGACCTGCTTCTGCTCTCGCACCTGCTGCGACCACAGGTCCTCATCCTCGCGATGGGAGTCTCGCTCGGAATCAAGTCGTGGATCGAGGGAGGCGTCATTGCCGGCGTCGTTGCCATCAACATCTTCGTCGGCTTCTTCCAGGAGCTCTCTGCGGAAAAGACGATGAACGCGCTCCGCAGCCTGGCCTCGCCCACCGCCCGCGTCCTCCGCAACGGCTCCGCCAGCACCGTGCCCGCCAACGAGGTCGTGCCCGGCGACATCATCGAACTGACCACCGGAGACACGGTGCCCGCCGACGCTCGGCTCATCGACTCGATGAACTTTGAGACCGACGAGGCCCTCCTGACGGGAGAGTCGCTGCCCGTCTCCAAGGACCACAACCTCATCTTCGAGGGCGAGGAGGTGGGCGTGGGCGACCGCCTCAACATGGCCTACACCAGCTCCACCGTCTCCAAAGGCCGCGCCACCGCCATCGTCATTGGCACGGGCATGAACACCGAGATTGGCAAGATCGCCGATGCACTGCGCGGCGCGGCCAAGGCGCAAAAGATCCGCCAGGTCAAGAAGAACGCCTACGGCAAGGCGGGCCCGCACCGCTACGTCCAGGCGGGCGCCCTCACCGTGTGGGACAAGATCGGCAACTTCCTCGGCCTCAACAAGGGCACGCCGCTGCAGAAGCGCCTGTCGCAGCTCGCCATCGGCCTCTTCCTCGTCGCCGTCCTGTTTGCCATCATCGTCTTCCTCTCCAACAACTGGACCGACACCGAGGTCATCATCTACGCCGTCGCCACCGGTGTCTCGATGATCCCGGCCTCGCTGACCGCGGTGCTCACCATCACCATGTCGATGGGCAGCAAGGCCATGGTCAAGCGCAACGTCGTCGTCCGCAAGCTCGACTCGCTCGAGGCGCTCGGCTCGATCAACGACATCTGCTCGGACAAGACGGGCACGCTGACCCAGGGCAAGATGGTCGTCCGCCGCGCCTGGGTCCTCGCCACCGGCACCTACAGCGTCTCGGAGACCAACGAGCCCTTCAACCCGACGCTCGGCGAGGTCTCCGTCGACGACGTCGAGCCGCGCGACGTCAAGAAGGACGCCGCGCCCACCACCGGCGAGGTCCTCGCCTCCGGCGGCAAGTCGAACAAGGTCGAGGGCAACGCGCCCTTCAAGGACTTTATGGACGTCGCCTCGCTCTGCAACCTGGCCACCGTCTTCAAGGACAAGGAGACCCACGAGTGGACCGCCCACGGCGACCCGACCGAGTGCGCCATCCAGACGTTTGTCACGCGCTTCGGCTGGGGCCGCACCAAGCTGACCAAGGGCGTCGAGGCCGACAAGGGCGACACGGAAAAGACCGAAGGCCGATGGACCCAGATCGCCGAGTACCCCTTCGACAGCGGCGTCAAGCGCATGGCCGTCACCTACTCGGACAATCGCAGCGGCAAGAACTACGCCATGATGAAGGGCGCCGTCGAGCGCGTCCTCGACGCCTGCGTCTCGGCCCAGGGACCGGACGGCATCGTCGACTTCACCGAGGAGCTCCAGAACCGAACGCTCGAGAACATGGAGGCGCTGGCCGAGCAGGGCCTCCGAGTCCTCGCCCTCGCCCACCGCGAGCTGAGCGGCGCCGAGGCCGACAAGGGCGGCGAGCTGGAGCGCGAAAAGGTCGAGTCCAGGATGGTCTTCCTGGGTCTCGTCGGCCTCTACGACCCTCCCCGCCCCGAGACGGCCGGCGCCGTGCGCAAGTGCAAGGAGGCCGGCATCACGGTGCGCATGCTGACCGGTGACCACCCGGGAACCGCCAAGGCCATCGCACTCGAGGTCGGCATCGTGCCCCGCAACACCAAGCGCTACTCGGAGCGCGAGGTGCACAGCATGGTGATGACCGCCTCGCAGTTCGATAAGCTCTCCGACGACCAGATCGACCAGCTCCCGCAGCTGCCCCTGGTCATTGCCCGGTGCGCGCCGCAGACCAAGGTGCGGATGATTGAGGCGCTCCACCGCCGCGGCAAGTTCTGCGCCATGACTGGCGACGGCGTCAACGACTCTCCCTCGCTCAAGATGTCGGACGTCGGCATCGCCATGGGCCAGAACGGCAGCGACGTGGCCAAGGACGCCTCGGACATTGTGCTCACCGACGACAACTTTGCGTCGATCTGTAACGCCATCGAAGAGGGACGGAGGATGGCCGACAACATCACCAAGTTTGTCTGCCACCTGCTGGCCCAGAACGTGGCCCAGGCCGCGGTGCTCCTCATCGGCCTCGCCTTCAAGGACGTCACGGGCCTCTCGGTCTTCCCGCTGAGTCCCGTCGAGATCCTCTACATCATCATGGTCACCTCGGGCTTCCCGGCCATGGGCCTCGGCATGGAGCGCGCCTCGATCGACGTCATGAAGCGGCCGCCGCGCGACAACAAGTGGGGCATCTTCTCCCCCGAGATGATCCTCGACCTGTTCGTCTATGGCTTCTGGATGGCCGCCCTCTGCCTCGCCACCTTCACCCTCGTCGTCTTCCGCTGGGGCCAGGGCGAGCTGGGCCTCAACTGCAACAGCAATAACGGCGACAACTGCGACGTCGTCTTCCGCGGCCGCGGAGCCACCTTCTCGGTCATGACGTGGTTCTCGCTGCTGCTGGCGTGGGAGATTATCGACCTGCGCCGCTCCTTCTTCAACATGCACGACGACGGAAAGTGGTACAACCAGTTCCTCAAGGACACCTGGGGCAAGAACAAGTTCCTCTTCTTCTGCGTCACGCTCGGCTTCATCTCGGTCTTCCCCATCCTCTACATCCCGGGCCTCAACGACGTCGTCTTCCTCCACAGCGGCATCTCGTGGGAGTGGGCCATCGTCTTTATCTGCACCCTCCTCTTTGTCGGCGGCATCGAGTCGTGGAAGTGGGGCAAGCGCGTCTACCTCCGCCGCAAGGAGGTCGACACCTCGAAACTCATCGACGAGGAGATGGGCGAGGGCAGCGACGACGGCGACGACACCGAGGCGCGCCTCTCGGAGAAGCCGGCCTCGCAGCAAAAGCAGCACAAGCAGGGGGGCCAGGCCAAGCTGCCCCAGTCCCAGACGATGGACAGCGAGGTGACGCGGGCCTAATCTGCCGCCGGCCACCGCTCGGCCTTCCCTCCGGGGCCCTCTGCCCCTCGCCGCACCGCATCGTATCGCATCGCATCACAGGACGATTTCCAGCATATCCGCATCACGTCTCCGCCCAACGCTCGATCAACGAGGCCAACAACCGGCGACGACGACAAACATGAAGCCCCAACACCTTCGCTTCGCACTTTTGTATTATTTCTTGCCTTAGACTCCAGCATCCCCTTTCGAAAAAAAAAGGATATGAACCCGACAAAAAGCGCTCTGCTGCCAGAGGTCTCCGCCATCCTCGGCTAGCCCTCGTAGCCGCTGTCGATGAGCCAGCGTTCGATGGCCTTGATGGTCTCCTCGTCCGACTTGCCCGCCGTGACGAGGGAACGGACTTTTGTGGGGCCATCCTGCGGCGCCTGACCGTTGCTGCCGACGAGGAGGACGTTGAGCTTCTTGTGCGTTCCGTACTTGGACGATGCCTCCTGTGCGGCGGTAGGGGCGTCGATTACGATGAGGCCGCTGAGTGCCGGGCGCGAGTTGGCGGGGTTGGAGAAGAGTTTCTTCCACCAGCTCGACTGGTCGCCATTGGCGTCGGAAGGGGTGATGTACTCGGAGACTACGTCCGAGGCGAGTGTGCCGTCCCTGACAAAGAGGACGGGAAGACGCTGGAGCGAGGCGAGTCGGATCTGGTTGTGCAGCTCGTCGGTCAGCTCGGCCACGGTGGGCGACGACGAGGGCGAGGAGAGGTTGAGGTCCAGCGCGTCGTAGCCCGCTTCGCGGAAGTAGGCGATGTAGGGCTGCCACCTGTGTCAGGGTGACACGGTGATTGTCGTTCGTCAGCAACTCTAACTCGGGGATCAGAGGACTTCTGCGCCGAGCGCAGCTCGATCCAGCCCAGCTCGTGGCTCGGCTCTGACACTCACACGGCCCTTCCACCCACACCACCCGTCAAGCTCTTGACCATCTGGCCCAGCCCGACTTTACTCCCCTCGTCGCTCAGGAACACCAGCGTGACCGTCTGCCGACGCGGCGCAGTGGGGGAAGCCTTTCTCCAGATCGTCGAAGATCCTTTGACCTCGCCGCCAGCAGGCGACTCGTCGGGCGACGCGACCGTGTACCTCCTCGTACCGGTCGTCGCGCCCGCATCGTCGCTGGACACAGAGGAAGAGGGGATAAAGGCCGAGGCGGCGAGACCGGTGCCGAAGCTGAAGCCGAGCGTGGTGGGCCGCAGCCCGGAGCGGTGCCGCGATGAAGACGACGAGGTGGAAAAGGATACCGAGGACGGGGGGAGGAGGCGTCCCGGTGCCGGGAGGAGCGGTACGGCCGTCGACCGTGCGACGGTGCGTGTGAGCGGGCGGGCGAGCGTGTTCATCTTTGCGTTCCCTGGCCGATGGCGAGCTAAGTGGTGGTGGACGGTGGTGGTGGCGACGACGTTGATGCTCGAGGCGCTCTCGATATCCCCCGCATTCCAGAGCAAGGCAAAGTTACAGGCGGCCATGACGTAGAGCTGCTTGGCCTGCCCCGATACAGTGGAGCAAGGATGGAATTGGGATCGTGTCGTCGACCCCGATCAGATAGCCTCCCCGATGGACTCATGGAGGGAAGAAAGCGGCGCACAGACGCACACCCTCCCCTCGCCCGTCGAGGCCACGCCGGCTGGGCTCTCAACCCACCATCACCTCGACCCTCGTCCCGTCTTCTCCCGCACGTCCCCGCCCGTACACCCCATTTCAGCCTTACAGGACCGTCGCACCGACTGATTCAGGATGGCCACCGAAGTGCAAGAGCAGGCGGAGCAGCTCCGCCTCCAGTCCTACTACCCGGAAAACGTGGCCCACAACGCCCAGCAGTTCTACTAGTGCGTCCGATACGGCCTGGCCCTCGCTGCCAAATTATCCCCGTACTGACCCGCACTTCTTCCTTCCTTCCTTCCTTCCTTGTCCTCTTCCGACTCGCTCCTATCTGCGACCACGACAGCATTCGATCGACCTCGCTCTCCATCGCCGGCTCGGTAGCGGGCATCCTGGGCCTGACCAACTTTTCCGGCCTGTACCTCTACGCCCTCTCGCTCGTCGTCACAAACATCCTCATCCTCACCATCAACGCCAAGTCCACACCGCAACGCTACTTTGTCCAGCCCTTCTCCTCCCCCTCCTCCTCCTCGTCTCCGAACGCGGCGCCCGGGAAAGGAGCAGCGAGAAAGGCGGCGACGAGCGAAAAGTGGGGCACCAAACAGGTCGTCTCCACCCTCTTTGACGGCGCCCAGGAGAACGGCTTCAGCTTCGTCCTCTGGTGGACCTTTTGGTTCGCCGTCGTCCATGGTGAGTACATCGGCAAAACCTCGGCCCGAGTATCCTTCTTCTGGCCATGTGGGTCCAGGCTGACCAGGCTCTGCTCCTCGACATGCATCCTTTGCTGCATTCGTAGTCTACGACTGAGTTCTAGCCGCTCTAGCGTGCAATCGGCGACTGTTCAGCTTTCTCACGACGAAAGACAGCATCTCGGTGGCCATGGCTTGTCACCTCTCGGCACGAATCGGGGATGCGGACGATGTGATGGCCGTTCAAATGGACTAAAAGTACATGGTTTTCTGTTGCGCGTGATCTGAAGAGGAACGGCCTCAATCTACCACTGTCCGGGTCCGCCGTAGCCCTGCTGATGAGGGGGTATCGAGCCAGGAGGAGGCGGAGGACGCTGCTGAAGGTGCGGGGGCGGCGGCATCGGGGGGCCGCCCTGCATGCCAGCGTGCATGGGAGGAGGTGGCATGCCCATCGCCATCCCCGGTGCGGGCGGTGGCGGCGTAGGTCCTCCCATCCCGACGCCCGGTGGAGCGCTTGGAGGCGGAGGACCATGCCCGTTTTGGCCGTACGGTGGTTGCGGCTGCTGCTGCTGGAAGTGGTGCTGCTGGCCGGGTCCAGGTCCGACTGCACCGGCGTTGGCGCCCGTGGCGAAGCCGCCCCACGGCGCGGGAGGACCGCCCGGGGGTCCACCCCCGTACATGCCTGGAGGACCTGGCGGTCGCATCATGGGCGGCGGCGGTGGCGGCGGGAGAGCATTGTTCTTCCTCGCCTGCGCTGCCAGCAGCCTCTCTGCGGCGGTGCCGTGACGCTCGCCCGTCTTGCTGTCCGTTTTGATGGCATACGTGACGGTGATGGGCCGGTTGAGCAAGAACTGGTTGTTGAGCGACTCGATGGCAGCATCCGCCGACTCAAAGTTGTCAAAGGAGACGAAGCCAAAGTTCTTGGAGACACCCGTAGTGGGATCTCGCGCCACCTGACAGGAACAAGGGCACAGGAACAGTTCAGCAACGGCACTCGTGGCTCGGACCGTCCGAACAGCATCGGCCTACTCACCTTTGGAACGCCGACAATCTGTCCAAACGTGCTAAAGGTGTCGTACAGCGCCCTCTCGTCGACATTTGCGTCGAGGTTTCCGACAAAGAGGTTGGCGCCGATGTCGATCTGCTTCTTGTCGCTCGAGGCCTTGTTGACGCGGATGGGCTTGCCGTAAAGCTTGAGGCCGTTCATCACCTTGCAGGCATAGTCCGCATCCGCCTCGGTCTGGAACTCTGCGAAGCCGTAGCCCTGGTGCGACTGGGTGATGCGGTCCTTTGGCAGGTGCAGGTGGACGAGCGGGCCCGCCTGGATCATGAGCTCCCAGACGATGGCGTCGGTGCACCGGTCGTCGAGGTTGCCGACGTAGCAGGTGGCATCCTGGTTGCGATCGAGCTCCGGCGGCCGCACTGACATGGTGTGTGCGATAGTGAGGCGGGAGGGGCACAGAGGCGGGTGGTGGCGGTCGAGAAGGGCAGAAGGCGGCGAAGACGTGTCCGTGTGGAGCAGCCAGGCCCTTCCAGCTTCCAGCTAGAAAATCGGTCGAAGTCCTTTGAATCGGGCTCTTCTGTCGCAGAGCCCAAATCGCCGATATGCGGTCAGGTTCGGAACCGGGGCAGCGCCCCTGGTCGAGGCCAAGCGAGCCAGGCGGTCGGAGGCGACCGAACAAGGCCGAAGGCGCCCACGCCTCGGTCTTCAGACGGGCCAATTCCGGCTGCACGTACTCGCATGCATTTCAGTTTTCCCCGCTGCGCAGAGGCAGGCAGGCAGGGGCGCGCTTAGACCTTTTACCCGGCTTCCCTCGGCGAGAGCCGACTGACGAGCCCAGCGGCTTTTGGCCATCATCCAAGAGCCAAACGCAGCCGCCACCCGGTGGCAGAGCTCCTGACTCGGCGCCGTCGCGCTCGTGCCCGCTTCCGGACGGTGCTTGTGCGCGAAGAGGCTGCGCAAGGGAGTAACCCGTAGCGATGGCCAGTATCGACGATGGCAGGACAGGTGCCAGACCAACACGCGATCTCCCTCCCTAAGCCCGAGAAAGCGTGGTGGCGCCAGACGCATCGGCCTTTGCGATGCTCGGCTTCCAATGGAGACCGACGTCGAGAACCGACCAGACGGGAGGGTCCCGATGCCGAACCCAGGGACCCTCGAGCCGCTTTCCCAGACCCCCTTCGCTTTCCTCTTGGCTGCCTCTCTTCTCGGGTTTGGCCTAGCTCGTCTTGCGTGCCGGCCTTGCATCAAACAGAAGTCTCTCCGTACGGCCTTGTTATCCGTCAGCGCCGTTCTCGCGCGGCCGCAGACCTAGACACCCGCATGTCTAGCGTACCGTATGGTGATGTGACTGAGCGGTAGGTGCTTACTCTTATGGGCACAGCGCCTAAGTAGGTATAGTGTGTAGCAAAGCGAGCCCAGCATTTCCTGACCGGCGTCGCGGACAGGACGGAGTGGAGCGTAACGAGTCAGGCCGACGACACGCTCGGCTGCCGCCTAGGGCCGAGCGGCAAAACCCCTGCGTGCGCCTTCCTGAGGGCATGCACCTTGTGCTCCGCTTGCCCATCCTCTCCGTCTTGCTAAACGCCGTCCTGTTCGCCTCAGTGGCTGGCTTGCTTGTTCTCTGTATGGACGTGTCTAAGAGGACGTCCACTCGCCTGTTGCTCTTTGCCTTCCATCTCCTTCATCCTCGTTCCACTCCCTTTTCCTCTCTCTGACAGCGTACCCGGGCTGCTCTTTCCTCGTCGCCACCCCCGAAACACCAGCCGGATCGACCGAAGCCACGGTCGGAGAGCATCCGTCGTCCTGGCCCCAGTCCAGCTCATTACTGCGCCCTCAAACGCCTCGGCTGGGTCGACCACAGCAGTCGCTGCCCGACACGTCTCCGGATCACCTCCGGCTGTCTACGCGGCTTTGCTCTCCTCGGAATAGGCCGTCGGCGACGCCGCTTCGCTATACATTGCTACGTACGACAAAGAACGAAACCCACTGCGCGTCTAGCCTACACACGACCATCCCAACGCATCGAGGACGACAAGCGTCCCTGCCTTACCTCCGCCGACGCCCACAATGACTGTCGCAGATCGTTCAAGGCCTACAACGACGGCCACGACGCTAACGACCACCTCGAGCTCGGGCACCGACATCGAGGCCGCGCCTGGGTCCCGCGCGCTCGACGGCCACTCGTCGCCCACGTCTGGCAGTAGCGATCCCAACCATGTCCTCGATACCACGCGCAGCAACGAACTCTCCATCCGCGACGAGAAGCAGCTCGGCGAGGTCGACGACGATGCCTCGCAGCACATGGAAAAGGATCCCGACGCCGGCATCACCTTTCCCGAGGGCGGCCTCCGGGCCTGGCTCAGCGTCCTGGGCGGCTTCTGGTGCACCTTCATCACCTTTGGCTATCTGAACAGCTTCGGCGTGTTTGAAGACTACTACCTCCAATCCTTCCTCTCGGACAAGAGCTCGAGCCAGGTGGCGTGGATCGGCGCGTTCCAGTACTTCCTCCTCTTTGCCATGGGCGGCGTCTCGGGCAGGCTGTTCGACCTCGGATTCTTCCGGCCCACGTTCACCTTTGGCTGCGTGCTGCTCGTCGTCTCGCAGATGCTCCTCAGCCTCTGCACCGAGTACTACCAGTTCTTTCTCTGCCAGGGCGTCGGCCTCGGCCTCTCGTTCGGCATCGTCTTCAACATGGGCATCAACTGCCCCGCCCACCACTTCCTCCAGCGCAGGGCCATGGCCTTCGGCCTCATCGCCACGGGCTCGTCGACGGGCGGCATCATCTTCCCCATCATGATCCGCCGCCTGATCCCGATCGTCGGTTTCGGGTGGACGATGCGCATCGTCGGCTTCTTTGCCCTCTTTGCCGTCATCTCGGCCTCGCTCTGCCTCAGCACGCGCCTGCCGCCGTCGATCGACGTCTCTGACAAGTCCAAGGGCGGCTGGAAGCAGGTCAAGTGGGTCGACCTCGACGCCTTCCGCGTGCCCGCCTACTCGTGGTTCGTCTTTGCCTGCACCGTCGTCATGCTCGGCCTCTACATGCCCTTCACCTACATGGACGTCTTCAGCCAGGTGCACAACGTCCCCGCCAGCGGCTACTACCTCTCGATCCTCAACGCCTCGTCCATGTTTGGCCGGGCGCTGCCGGGCCTCGTCGCCGACAAGGTGGGCCGCATCAACGTGCTGCTGCCGCACATTGCCATCTCGGCCGTCCTCCTCATCTTCTTCCCGCTCTGCGTCAACGTCGGCGGGCTGGTGGCCTTCGCCGTCATCTTTGGCTTCACCTCGGGCTGCTACGTCTCCCTCATCCCGGCATGCTGCGCCCAGCTGGGCTCGACGGCCACCGTGGGCACCCGCAACGGGATGATGTTCATGGTGGGCTCGCTCGGCGGCCTCTTTGGCACGCCCATCAGCGGAGCCATCCTCGGCGACGCGCCCGACTACGACTGGTGGGGTACGGCGGCCTTTTCCTTTGCCACGGTCCTCGTCGGCTCGTTTGCCATTGCCACCAGCCGCTACTTTGCGCTCAACAAGCAGCTCCGCGGCAAGATCTAGGCCGTCACTGCCCTATCCTGGTCCCTGCTCGCTCTGTGCTCCCCCGACTTTTCCGCTGGCATGCCCTCCGTCGCCGCCATCGATGCCCGCTCAAAAACATCCATCTCTTTGTACAATATCTCATCGCTTAGACTCTGCCTATTCGTCGCATACGGATCTCACGCACGGCCCAACGAAAGTCACGCCCGTTCCTGCACCCTCGATCTGTTGAGCGTCCGATTGGGACGTGAGGGGATAGGAGTGGCAAGGGGAGGGCGGTGGTGGCGGCGAAAGGCCCAGCATCGGCAAGGTCCGACCGGGGCCGAGGCTGAGCGTCAAGTGCGGGCACCCGTGTCTAATTTTGGGCTCGCCATCCGCCTCGGAGATAGCGTGCGCGACGACGTCCATGTCGCCGAGCTCTTCTCCCGGAGCAAACCCGCTTTCAGACCAGTACCCTCGCTCGAGCTAGGGAGGGCAAGGTTGGGAGAGATGCGTCGGCCTCACGGCTGGCCTGACATGTCCGCTCCTTGCCTTTGGTCCGTGCCATCTTAACGCCGTGAGATCCCGGAGATGTCAAGGTATCGCCGAGGGAGCTCTGGACCCTGGACTCCGGAGACGTCGACCAGGACGTACGTATGTACGTACGTACTGTATGTGATGGCCGAGTGGGGACCATCCCAGAAGAAAGGGGTGACTTGACCTCTCGGGGACGACCGACACATATAATCGACTCTGCGGGCTCACCCACCCGTCCTTCCCTCACTCCTCACCACCCCACTCACACCCCACACAACCTCCATCCACACCACACAGAACCCGCAGCAATGTCGGCCCCCTTTATCTCGGCGCTCGCGGCGCGACGATCCATCTACGCCCTGTCCAAGAAGGCGATCCTGAGCGACGAGGCCGTCGTCTCGCTCGTCCAGAAGGCGGTCAAGTACAGCCCCTCGTCGTTCAACAGCATGAGCTCGCGCGCCGTCGTGCTGCTCGGCAAAGAGCACGACCACTACTGGACCAAGATCGTACCCGACGAGCTGAGGAAGGTCACTCCGCCCGACGCTCTTGAGAAGGGGCTGAAGAGGGTCGAGGGCTTCGCTGTAAGTGACACGGCCAGCAGCGATCAACTGCGCTTATTGGCCTCCTTTGGCGGTCGTCACACCTTCTGACGACACGAGCTCGCATCCCCTCTTCTCCGACTGTATCGACACGGCAGGCGGGCTACGGCACCGTCCTCTTCTTCGAAGACGCGAGCACCGTCAAGGGGCTGCAGGAGAAGCTGCCGCTGTACGCCTCGTCGTTCCCGCAGTGGTCGGAACACGCGTCGGGCATGGCGCAGCTCGCCACCTGGACCGCCCTCGAGCTCGAAGGGTACGGCGCCAACCTGCAGCACTACGCCAACCTCACCCAGCCCGCCGTGCGCGCCCACTGGCAGCTCGACGACAACTGGGTCCTCAAGTCCGAGCTCGTCTTTGGCCATCCCGAGGGCGGACCTAGCCCCGACAAGCCCTTCCTCGCCGACGAAGAGAGGGTCAAGGTGTTCAAGTGACGGCGCCATCAGCCGCAGCGGAACCTTGAACTGAGCCTTGAACACGTGTAGAGCCGCAGACGCTGACTAGATGGCGAACCACGAATAGATCGCGTCTTGCTCCTTCGACATGTGGCGAGAAGAGAGGCGTGCCGGGGTCCCTGCGATGTTCAAAGTGTGACAACCCGACAAGCGGACTCGACAGCCCGGTCGCAGCGCGGGCAAGCGCGTTGGTCTGGTCTTACAAGGTTGCAGTCGGGCCCCTCGGGAGGGCAGCAAGCAGCATCATCGCAGTACAATAGTTGCGGCGGAGGTCTCGCCGTCGTTCTGGCCTGGCCTCGTCGGCCCTTTCTCAGGACTGACTCAGTAGTAACCGTAGCCGCCATCGCCATCGTCAGCCTCAGACGACGACCAGCCGGCGTGGCGCCTGGAGCCGCGGTGGCGGCGCAACCTCAGGGCGGCGCGGCTGGCTTCGGCCTCCAACTCGGCGGCCAGCGCGGCCTCTCGCATCACTCGAGCCCGCCGTTCGGCCAAACGCAGCTCCGCCTCCTGCCTCGATCGCATCGACGAGCTTCGCCTCGGTCGCGGCAGAGGTGGATAGACGCCGACCTCCTCATTCTCATCATCTTCCACCTCGTCTCGGCCCGGCTCCGCAATGTCCTCCTCCGTCTCTTCGTCTTCGGTCCGTTCGTCGTGCAAGTCGTCCTGCTGTAGCTCGGGATCGGCATCGTAGCGACGCTTGCGCAACGATGAGGGCGCAGGCTGCGCGCCGCGATGGACTGCGGGTCCGTCGAACATCTCGGCCCGCTCTTGTCGCTGCCTGCGCCCGAACGTCAGGTCCTCGCGAGCGTGTCTACCGCTGCTGATGCTTCGCGCGCTTGCGCTCCTCGCGACGGCATACTCGCCGCGCGAAACGCGCTCGGATGGCCCCGTCCGTCCAGGTCGCGGCGCCGAGCTCGGCAGGCGGCGAGACCCGAGCTCGGTGGCAGCGATGGTGTGGCGTGGGGCTATCCGAGGCCTGCCGCCGCCGCTGGCGAACGCAGCCCCGTTGACCTCGACTTCATCGCTCCGGTCGACGAGAACGGTGTGGCGCCGTCGCCTGCGTGGAGGCGTCGAGAGCTCGGATGGCTCAATGACAGAGCGTCGCCTCTTGCCCAGTGACGCGCTCCGGCGGTCGACCGACCGCGGAGCTTCTTGAACGTCTAGCTCGCTTCCTCGCTGCGACTGCTCGAGGTTCTCGAGATCCTGGTCGACCTCGGCACCCTCGCCGTGGTCGTCTTCGGCCAGATCATCGGCTGCATAGTCGGTCGTCTGCTGAAGCGGCTGTGGCTTGCTCGGCGACCTGGCGAGCACGGCGAGGAACTTTTCCGCCTCGTCCCACCTGCCCTCGGCCGTGCGCACAAACTCGATGACGTCGTGCGCAGTGACGCCGTAGGTCGCCGCCATCGAATGGACCTTGTCGGTCAAAGCATCCCTCGCTTTGGCGACGCTCCAACCGTTGGGCATCATGAAGGGCACTGCCTGCGCGGGGCCGCTGAGGCCAAAGTCGGAGCACAGTTTCTTGACGCTCTCGGTGTACCGGCGCTTGGCCTCGAGCGCCTCGAGTTCGGACCTCTCGCCGCTCGCCACTGCCGACGGCACGCTCTCCCTGGCCCTGCGTCGCAGGGGCGAGCCGAGGATCGAGGTGCTGGCTGCCGTCGTCGAGCGGGTATGCTGCGGTCGTGTCTTTGCCGGCATCGACGACTGCAGCTTGTTGGTCGACGGCGCACCGAGTTGCTTGGCAGGCGCGCTGCGTTTAGCTGTCGGCGTGGGTGCAAGCAGTTCAGTCGATGCCTCTGCATCGAGCTCGGCCGAGGTCCGCGACGCCCACTCCTCGACCCGTCTTCGCTTCGCGTCGGACAGATTCGCAGAAGGCTCGCGCTGGCCGCGGGGTTCCAGCATGCTCCTCGAGTGGTAGTCGGGCACCTTTCGGGTCGCATGGACGCTGCTCGACCTCTTTGTCGACGTGGCACGCGGCGTGCGACGGGCAAGCACGCGGGCTTGCTCCTCTTCGTCGCTGTCCATGGTGAAGTCGTGGAAGGTCGTGTCTCGATGCCGTTCGAGCAAGGGGACCCCAGCCTTGCTCGGTGCAGCATCACGTTGCTGCAACGATGGGCTCGCAGTCTGAGCTTCACCGACGCGACCTCCAGGCTTGCGCATGGCCGGTCGTCGGAACGCAAGGTCGGAGGCTGGACCACGAACATCCGCCGAGGTGGCCGTTGCGGTGGTCTTGACGGCAGCTCTCGGTCGCTCATCGTTGGTGGGCGGCAGTTCGAGATCCGGCTCCGAGCCTTGTTGAAAGCTCTGGAAGACGACGTCGCTGTCGTCGTCCTCGCTGACGACCTCTACAGAGGCGAGACCACGCGCAGCGGCCAGGTCGTTGCTTTGCTGCTGATCTTCAGCTGCGCTCTGACCGGCCTCGTCGTACTGCAGCGGCTGCTCGTAGTCTGAGAGCTCGCCGTCGAGCGTTGGGTTAGAAGGGAGCACGGGAATCTCTGCCGCTCCCAGGTCGAGCGCGTCGACGACTGCCTCGTTGGCGTTGCCATAACCGGGAGCAATGGACGAGGTCTGCATCCGCGCCGGCGACATGGCGGCGGCAGCGGCGGCAGCGACCGCGAGGATCGGAGAGGCAAGTGCACCTTCGTCGTCGTCTCCTGTGTGCGAGGCACCGGCCCTGGCCGCCACCTTGGCATCGTGATGCTCCTTCCGCTGGTTGACGTCGTGCGTCACAGCTCCGGGCGCCGTTTCCGAGACCTTGGGTATCGCACCATCGACTGAGGTGCCCTCCTCCGCCTCTGCCGTGCCTTCGATCTGGGCATTGTCGTTCTCTTCTTCCCCGTGGTCCAATTGAGCATGAGCTGCCGCGGGCGATCCGGCTTGTGGCGTGGCCTCGGGCGAGTATTCCAGGGTCGTCTCGACGTGTCGGTGGCGTTGCGACGACGCCGGGATGACGACCTCGACGGCGGCCCCGCTGCTGGTCACCGCCGGTCGGAAGCCGGGCAACGGCGACGATCGATCGATGTCGTGGTCGCCATTTGTGATCGTTTCGCGGGTGTTGTTGGACGTGACGGGGGCCGCGACAGGCTTGGCTGCGGCCGCATCTTCGGCCGATTCCGCAGGAGCCGCCCCCTCGGTGCTGTCCTCGGCGATCTCCAAGAACTCGGCCGCCATGGCGTCGCCGATTTCTTGCCAAGTGGCCAGATCGAAGCTCTGGGAGCGGGAGCGACGTCCAGTCCCCGCTTCGGGTGCCAGGTCCTGTCCATCCTCGTGCTGCTCCTGTTCCTCCTCGTGCTGCTCCTGTTCCTCCTCGCGCTGCTCCTGTTCCTCCTCGCGCTGCTCCTGTTCCTCCTCGCGCTGCTCCTGTTCCTCCTCGCGCTGCTCCTGTTCATCCTGGCGCTGCTCGTGTTCATCCTGGCGCTGCTCCTCTCCGTCCTCTTCGTCCTCTTCGTCCTCATCCTCCTCGTCCTCCTCGTCCTCCATGTATTCCTCGTCCGTCCAGCCGGGAGCCGGATAGATTGCGATCAGCGGCGATGCCGGGTCTGCTCCGGCCGCTTCGTCGGCGCCTAGTTCGCTCTCGCTCGACTCGCCTTCCTCCCCGTCGCCAATCGCGTCAGCGTCACCAGGGGGAGCCGCCTCGGCCCCTTCCTCCACAAGGACCGTCTGCGTCTCCTGCTGGACAATGCGCTGGGTCTGTGCGGCGTCAATGTAGAGCACGGCGTTCTTGTTAAAGTGGCTCGACCACGACGCGGCCGAGTGGCGCGGCTTGTCGTGGTTCATCTGCTCCCAGAACTCGGGCGGCGGCTTGATGGAGGACATGTCGATGTCCGCGTCGGGCTGGTCGGCGTCGAGGGAGGACAGCAGGTCGCTCAATCTGTTGACCAAGAGCGCCTTCTCCGGCGTGGTGAAGCGAGCGCGCGGGGGACCCTTTGATCCCTCCCGGTGGCGAGCAATGTAGCTTGGATCGTCGTCAGCAGCCTGCTGGTCTGCTAGACCGTGCGCCTTGTCGAGGTCCTCTTGCTCCTGCTCAGCTGCTTGGTCCGCTTTGGCATTCTCGACTGGATCCGTCGCGTTCTGGCTGTCATCGGCGAGCTCGTCGACCTCCGACTCCGCACTCGATGCTGGATAGCTTTCTCCCTCGTCGGCATTCGAGTCGCCGCTCAGGGATGCGCGGGCTGCGGAGCGTCGGGGTCGCGTCTTTGATTTTGGCCGCGCCGTCTTCTTCTCCTTCTTGGGCGATTCCAGCTCGTTGATGAGGGACTCGGGCATGTCCCAGCCATCCTCAGGCTCTGACTCCTCGCTGACCGCATTCTCGCCTTCGTTGGCGCTCTCGTGAGCCGGTCCGGCAGCAGCGCTAGTCGTCAAAGTCGCCTCTGGCGCAGCTACATCGCGCGTCGTATCTGACGGGCCCTCTCGCTCGGCCTGGCGCAAGGTAGCTGGTACCTCGCCAGCTGCAGGATGATGGACCTGCTTCGGCTTGGCGGGTCGCAGCGGGCGAAATTCGAGCTCCTCTTCGACCTCGACGCTCGAGGAATCGGCTTGATCGCGAAAATCTTCTTCGTGAGGCGGTCCCAGGGCGGGCGCCGCCTCCGTTAGAGATGCGGACGCCGCGCCGGATTGTGACACTGAGGGGGCCGTGGGTGCATCGGCGGCGAGATCGGCGTCCCCGCCTCGGTCCGATCGAGAGGCGGCTTCTGGAGCCAGGTTCGAGGGAGCCAGCTGGTCGGCGGAGGCCGGCTCCTCCGCCTGCGCAGACTTCGGTGCCTTCGCTTCGGCCCAGCCGCCAACTGGCTCCGACTCCTCGTCGACGACGTCGGAGCTGTCGAGCTGGTCCCGTCTTGCGGCTTTTCTTTGCTCGCGTGCGGTCTCGCCGCGCCTCACCGCCGAGACCGATGAGTCGCCTGTTGGCTTCTGCGCCGGTGCGGGCGCGGACTGCGCGCTGGTGACAGAAGGCTGGGACGTATCGGCGACGCTGCCGCCGCGTGTCGGCATCGTGGCAGGCTTAGGATGCTTGATCCCGTTCTCGGCCTGCCAGGCATAGACGCGCTGCCGAATGTTCCACTTGGCCGTCATGTTGTCCTGAAGGTACGACAGCCAGCTGTGCTTGGTGTGCGACGGACGGTCGATGGCCAGGTCCCTGGCAGCGCCATTGACGCTCCACGGCTCCGGGCGGCGGCCGAGGTATTCGACGATCGCGCTCCGATCCTCGTCGGTAAATGGATGACGGCTGCCGGACCTCGCACCGGGCGTCAACGCCGAAGCCGCCAGCCGGGCCTTGATCTGCTCGTCGGGCACGTAGATGGCCCGTTCCACCTCGAGCAGCTGGCACGCCTCGATGCAGTCGTGGATGAACTGCGGAAGCACCATGGGCAGCGGCTTGCCGAGTCTCTTGGCCTCCCTGTTGAGCTTGGCCGCTTCCATCGGAGTGTTGATGTTGGCCACCATCAGGTCGGCCTTGCCCATCCTGGACTCGACCTCGCCGCCATGCTTGCGAATGAGCACCTGTAGGTCGCGGTACTCGACGGGGCCAAAGGTGTTCTGAAGCAGGAACTTGACGCGGATGTGGCGCTGGGAACCGAAACGGAAGATGGTCGACGGCTCTGTGCGGGTCGGCGCAGGGCTTGGCCTGGCAGGTTTCTGCTCGGGCTTTGGCGTCCGCGGCATCTTGCTGCCGGTATTGGACGCGGGTTTGCGCGACGATACAGTCGAGGGAGCCTCGGCCGTTGTCAAGGCTTCTGGCGAGGTGAGGCTGCGCTGCGGTTCAGGCGCTGGTGCTGGCGACGGCTCGGGTAGGGACGCGGGCGATGCCACGTGTGGCGGATGAGGCTGCTGCGATACCTGTCGGCTCGGCGCCTTTGCGGCTTTCGAGACGCCGTTGGTCGGTCGGAGCGAGGGCGTTGACCTGAACAAGCCTCCTCTGTCGCTGCCGGTGGCGGCGGGTGGCATGGCTTTACCGTCTTCCGGGCTGGTCGCTCGATCAGCCATGGCGATGGTCTGCGAGCGGCGACCGTTTATAGGAAACGACTGGTGAAACCTGGATGGCGAGGAGCGGGACAGCGCACGCGGTCGGGTGGCGACAGCAATTGGCCAAGGAAGCGCAAGAGCGGTCAGGGCCAGGGGGCGCCCTGATCCATGTCTGGACCTGTGAAGCGTGCAGTGACGGCGGCGGCTCCGCTGCGAGTGGAAACGACTCGCCAGACTGCGAGCTGGCAGGCTAGAGGCACTGCCGCAGTCGCAGGCGAAACGAGGGGCTCGGCGTCGGGCCGATGGGCGCAAGGGCGGACGGGTCTCGACAAGGGCCGACCACCTGTTGGCCTCTCGAATGTCGGCGGTGCGGCCAGGCGGGTCGGGCCCGTCAGCGCTCGAATACGGCTCGGCCAGCCCGACGGTGATGGAAGCAGCAATGGAGGCAGGAACGCCTGACCTTGCGCAGAGATGATGAGGCGAGAGGCGAGCGACGAGGGGTGGTCGCTAGAGAGAGTGCGCGAAAGCGTAGGGAGGAAGAAGAAGAGGAGCAGCGTGGCGGCGCATAGACGGTGTGATGCCGGTAGCAGTCGCCCTCGTTGTCGTCGTCGTCGTCGTCTTCGATGGTGGTGGTCTAGCTCAGCCTGGGCATCGAGCATGTGGAGCGAAGGAAGACCGAGAGGCCTGGCCGGCTGCTTGCCTGCGCGTCCCCGCCGTCGCTCGCGTTGAGTGGACGGCCCTCGAGCCTGGACTGACCAGGCCCCAGGTTGGCCTGGCCAGCTGGCCAGCACCGTCCGCCGAGTTCCGAGATGGCTTCGAAGCCAGGCCTGGCCTGGCCACGGGCAGATGGCCCGAGGACGCGTCTGGAACGCGTCAGGCCCTTCGTCGACCTGCCTCCAGGCCTAGCTGCCGCTTTGCTCCATCATGGAACGCCTGACACGGCCCTCGCCTGCCAGGCGGCCCTCGCCTGGCTGCTCTCGATTTTCGTGCGTCTGCGTTGCTGAAATCTTCCGATGGGCTGCCTGCCTCCTTGCGCTCCCAGGCTAGGGTTGGGTGCGTGGTTGGCGGTGTTGTTTGTTTGGACCCGCACCGTCCCCTTGCCTAGCCTAGCCGTCCTGCCCTGAGGCCCTAGCCTGTCCTGCCCTAGCTGGCCCGCCAACGGCCTTCGCTCGCTCGTGTGCCTCTGCTCACCCTCTGCCGTACCGGGGGGGAGGCCCGCCCAGGCAGGACCAGAGAGGAGCTTGGCAGGCCGCCTGGCCTGGCGGTGCCTCAGTCCGAGCGTGCGTGCGTCCTGTCACATCGAATCTGGCAGCCGCCCGCGGTGCCAGGCAGGCAGGCAGGCAGGCCAGGGTCTCGTCCGTGTGATGCCCGAAAGAAGGCGAGCAGCGGATCACACCGAGCAGCAAGAGATAGGCCTGAGGGCAGAGGAGAGGAGAGGAGAGCAGAGGCCTGCGTGGGTCGACTCGGTCCCACCCCACTCCTTCTCTAAGATCACAACGTACTGCGAGCGAGCAGACGTCCAGCCGAAGACGACGACGGCGGGCCGGTGTGCCCACGACTTCGACCTCTTGGTCCGTAGGGCAGGTGTAGTCGCCCGGCCGCTGCCCTGTTGCCTCTCTCCTCTGTCTGTGTGTCGTTCTGCTATCAAGCAAGACCGTGCGCGGCTTGCAAGGCGCTGCGTTGGCAAGCTGCTCTTTCTCGACAGCCGCATCGTAGCAGCAGCGGGAAAGGTAGAGGCAGGGAGAGGCACATGTCGATAGGACATGTATGGCTCGCCCAGATCGAACGACGACGACGCCCTGAACGAGGAGCGAACGTCGGGGCAGGCGTGGGCGCGAGGCGCACACCACACTCTGCCCTCTGCTGGCCTCGACGTTGGGCAGGTTGCACGACACATGCGGCGTGTGTTGGTCTCGTCTCTCTTCGATCTTCTCTTCTCGCTCTGCTCCCGCGGCATCCGTACGTCGCCTCTCGGTGCGGCGTGCGTGTTGGTGCGTGTTCGTATGTGATATCATCCGCCTGCCCGCTCGCTGGAGGGAGAAGCAAGCAGCAAGCAAGCGGCAGACAAGGCAGCCAGGCTCAAAGCAGCAGCAGCAGCGACAGGCAGCAGGCCGGGGGAAAAAGTCGAGCCAAGAAGGACCGGCAGGGAGACGGGCAGGCCAGGCCAGGCCAGGCCAGGCCAGGCGAGAAAACGGGACGCGAGCCCAGGTGCGCAGGCCAGGCGCAGGAAGGCGAGGCAGGTCACGCAGAGCGGCGAGCAACACGAAACACACACAAACAGACCGGCCGGCAGCCGGGCAAAACGTAGCACGGTGCTGCCTGGCCTGCTGCTGCTGCTCTAGCTGTACGTGGGTGTTGCTGAAGCTGTTGGGCTGCAGAGTGGACGGTACGGTGTGCTGTTCTGCTCCTGGGCCCATCCATTCGGCTCGATTCCCCCGCGCTCCCTTCCGTCGCCCATCCAGCACTCTATCCTCACCTCTCCTCTTGCCATCCGGGCACCCAGCTTGAGCTCGACGAAGGCAGCCACAAGCTTGCCAGCCAGCCGGTCAGCCTGGCCTCGACTGCCGACCACGACGACGACGCAAACGCTGCCGCAGCAGCAGCAGTACAGAAGGAGACGCCGCCGCCACCAGTCACCGCCTCCGTGCCGACCTGCCTGCCGTCCTCGACCTGGACGTATCCTCGCGGCCGTCTACAACAGGGAGCGCCGCAGCCCCAGCGACACCGTTGCTTGACGCCGCCATCGCCTCGCTACAGTCTCGGACAGCGGCAGCATAGAGCCGGCGTCTGTCCGACTCGCATCTTGGAGCCCGACAACGGATCGACCTTCGACTCGCCGCTTAGCTGGGGCCAAAGTACTAGCGACAGCTCTCGAGCTCTCTTTCACCTTGCCCGCTCCTCGAACCCGCTGTGAGGCTGGGCCGAGTGTACTCTCTTCGCCTCCTACGACCCGCTAGCCCCACCGGCTCGTCCCGCTCCACCTCACCATCCGTTTCACGGGCGCTTCCGTCATCCCGACCGCTGCCCTCCTCGGCACCGCCCGATCTCCACGACTGGCTGGGCGCTTGCGTGCTGGGACGACCCCCGTTCCGCAGGCTGCGAGCAGACGCGCGGCATCCTAGCTCTTGCTAGGAGCTTCCCCTTGGACCGGATCGGACCGAAGCGCAAGGATTGTTGGCAAATCTCGCGGGGACGGCCGGCGCCTCAGCCCACCCGTCGGCCCGCAGCGCAGCTTGGATCGAGAGCTTGAGCGGGCACGCCCACCGCTCTCGTCGGCGTCAACATCGACGGCGTGGCGTCCCTGCCGCTACATCCACTTTGCGCTGGTCGGTGTCCGCCTGCGTCCTGAGGGTACGTTCCGGGGCGCAGTTCGGTCCGCTGCTCGCGCGAGTCTAGCCCATGGCTCCAGCCACTCGCAGAGAGGCTCGCCTCAGCGCGAGCCTCCAGGAGCAGGCCAACGGCCAAGCGGGTGACCCGAACAACCTCTCCCAGGATGGCCGGAGCGGCAGCAACGGTTCAAAGACCGCCAACGCGGCACTCATCTTCCCCAATGTGGAGCACATCCTGGAAAACTTTGAAGCCTGTGAGTACGGCTGGGCACATGTGGGAGGCCTGAGCGTGTTTGGACGGCAAAACACAGAGCCACGAGGCGATGCGCGGCCGCACCACGGACAGTGGCACCTCGCGCGGTCTCCCTGCATCGACTTTGCTGAGGACCTCCATTTTCTGCCTGCCCCCACCATCGACCTTGGACCTGCGCTGGCTGCCCTGGCACGCAGTCAAGCGGAAGCACATTGCGCAAAACCGCGAAATCATCAAGACGAATGCGCTTGCCCAGATGCGCATCCGCGAGCTCGAGAACAAGATCGAAACGCTCGAGACGGAGCGCGAGGCGCAAGCGCTGTCGTCGGTCGAGCTCAGGGCCAAGCTCAGTCAGCTCGAGCACGTCGTGGCCTGCGTGCAGACGGGCTGGGGTGTCATTGGCCAGAGCCTGGGACGCCTCGACGGACGGCTGGCACCTACGGCCCCGGACCCGGCCCGCTACGAAGGGCTCGGGCTGGACCTGGCCATGGTGGGCCCGGAACCGCAGCTGCGTGCCAGCAACCGCATTACGCTCGATCCGTCGGCGCTGCCCGCTGGCGTGGTGAGGTCGGTAGCCAGGGCCCCCGAAGCGCACCTGCTGGATGTCATGGAGGATGACGAGGACCAGACGCACCGCCATGTCGCTGCCTCCACCAGCAGAGCTGCCTACACGCCCTCACACCCGGTCGCCCACTCGCAGCATTCCGACTGGCCGCTGAACCGCCAGGATACGCCAATGCTCAGCGGCGGCAGCAGTTTCGGGGTCAGCGACGACCACCCCGGCTTCCACATGATCGAGAGCCATTCGCTCTTTGACGACGGCGGCCCGCCCAGCCCGATGAGCAGCCCCGGCCTTCCGATGGACCTCGAGCATGCCATCGCTGTGGCATCGCGTGACGGCTCGACGCCCGAATGGAGGCCCAATCCGCCCCAGTTCTCGAGTGACGGCGACGATGGCGATGGCGTAAGCCCGTCCATGAGCACGATCGATCACGTCGACGCGGGTATCCGCGAGGCGCTCCTTGCGCAGCACGAAGGGCGCGGTCAGGCAGTACGGCGGACGGCGAGGCGCTCCAGCCGGCGTCAAAGCGGACTCCTTTCGCCGCCCATGCTCACAGACGACAAGGAGGCCACGGACGGCGACTACTACCGCAAAGCCGATCGCGGCGTCGATGAGGAGCACGGAGATTCCAGCGCTTCAGCCGCAGCTGGCAACGGGCAGCCTGCCCGGGATCAAGGAGGTGATGGCGACAGTACCATCGTCTCGCCGCCCCTGCCACTGGATCAGCGGGCCATTTCGGGCCCGATCCTGTCTGCGGGCCTGATGACGACCTCTTCGATTCTGCGCGAAGTGACCAACGGTGTCAAGCACACCGACTCGAGGAAAGAGGCCGAGGCCGACACCAAGAATGGTCTGCTGCAGCCGACACCACGCAGGGCCAGGAGGCAGAAGATGGAACCCGACCTAGTGGCCAAGAAGGCGAGCATCGAAGACCTGAGATCGAGGGAGCCCTCGACGCCCGGCGGTGTCAAGCGGAAGATGGCGTCGCACGACGCCGACATCTGCCAGACGCCGACGTCGCACAAGGCGCCTGCGTCGCCATCCGGCGCCTCGGACACCTCGGTCAGCCACGCCGCCATGGCTTCGGAGGCGGATGCGACGTTCGGGCGAGCCCGCCGGACGCGCAAGAGCGTCAACTATGCGCTGCCCAAGCTCAACACCAAGATGCGCAAGCCGGACCCCGTCGACCTGATCCCGGCGACGCCCGGATCGAGCGCAGCGGCCTCACGCAATGCTACGCCGTCGTCAACTACGGCGTCGAGGTCGAGCCGCAGGGTGGGCAGCACTGGCAATCTTCATGACCTTCGCCGGCAGCGCGAGGCGGCCGCGTCGAGGAGCACGGACGAGCACTCTGCCGAGGACGGCGATGACGGGCATTCGGCCATGAAGCGCAGCGATCCAGACGACGAAGACGGCAATGCTGAAGGTGGCAGCGCCAGCCTGGCCGATCTGTTCGAAACAAACCCGCCGCGAGGGTCCCGAACCGCACGGAAACGGACACCGCAACAGGCGGCCAGCGATTCCGAATCGGCGGGCTCGACCAGGCGCTTCTGGCGGACCGAGTCCAATACCGACACCTCGGACGACGAGTCGCGGGCGATGAGCGTCAGCGATGTCGGCGACATCGAGGACCTCGAGGGCGCCATGAGCGCGTTGAGCACGCTCGAGGACCACGGCGGCGACGACAAGGACGCCGATTACCAGCCAAGCGGGTCCGGCGGCGTCACCAAGTCGGACTCGTCTGGAAGCATGCAGTCATCTTCATCAACCGACGGCATCGGCGACGGCCGACGGCCATCACTGCGCCGTCGCTCGACCGCGATACCGCCGAGGGCCACGACCGGTTCCGATGTGACGACAAACTCGCTCGGGCTGGTGACGTCTAGCAGCTCCGAGTCTATCGCGGCTGCGGAGGGCGCGGGACGTGGAGCGGCGATCGGCCCACTTCGTGCAGGCGATGCGAGCGGGCGAAGCCCGTCGAGCGCCATTCCCGATACGACCTCGAACGCGACGCCGACGCAGCCATCGAGCTCGACCCTGGGCACCTTGTCGGATGCCGTCGGCGTTGTCGGCACCGCCAACAAGGCTGCGCCGACCAGGACCATTACCACCCGGCGCTCGTCGGCGGCGCGGCTCACTGCAGTGACGAGACCCAGCGAAAGGCCAAAGAGCGCTGGCAACGGGGCATCGAGGACCAATGGATCCAGCTCCAGCCTTTCGGCGCCGCCCAGCTCCTCCTCGCCGACAAGTGGGTCTGGTCCCTCGAGCCTAGGCCGGGCGAGCGGAAACCCGACGGCGGGCTTGCAGCGAGGTGGCCTGCACGCGGCCCTGACCAACCAGCCCCGCTCTGCGGGTGCGACGGGAAGCAGCAGCGGGGGTGGCTCGACGCCTCAAATGGGCACCCAAGCTCTGCCATCGAGCAACAGCCCGATCATGCGGGCCTCGCCGCTCCTGGGAGGTGGCAAGACGTTAAGACCATCGGCGTCGACAAGCAGCCTGGCGACGGCGACGACGAGCTCTGGCCGATCGAGTCCGGCCCTGTCGATCTCGTCGACCAATAGCTCTGGCAGCCACGCCTCGGCCGCCGTCCGAGCCACATCGACGTCGAGCACCTCTGCGCTGGCGAGAACAACGACGACAAAGCAGGCGACGATGGCTGCCGCCGCCGCTGCCGCTGCGGCAGCAACATCAACATCGACGGCACCACCGGCAGCATCCAGCTTGGCATCAGCTGCGTCGAGCCAGTCCGCACGGGCAGCGACATCGACCAAGCCGGCGCCGCACCCATCTCGGTCGATGCCGAGCCTCAAGCGGGCCGCTGCGAGCGATGCAACGCCGCGACCGGGTACGCGGGTCGTCTCTGCTACGCAGTCCGGACGCACGCTCTCATCGGGTCCTGCTTCGTCTTCGACAACGTCCTCGACCATCGCCGCCACGACGCCCGCTCAGGCCTCGACGCCGTCGTCGCTCCCATCGTCGTCGTCTGCGCCTCGCATCACTGTGCGCTCGACGCCCTCGACTTCGTCGATGGGCTCGGAGCGTTCGACAGCCAGCAGCACGGCCACGATCCGGCCAGCGACGAGCGGTCAGACCGCGAGCTGACCTCGCCCGCTTGCAGGTAGACGTGCTCTGCCTTTCAATGAACTGAACCAGGGGTCCGCCAACGGACGCCCGCCCGCACGCTCCCTATCCCCCTCCCTCTCGCTCTCTTTCTCTCCCTCTCCGTCTCTCGCCCTGTCTACTACTATCTAGGTTGCAACGCCTGCTCCCCCGCTCCTTGTCTCCCCACTCTATCCTGCCTGGGCGGCTTACGCGACTCTCACCTCGCGCTGCCGCACCTACCCGTACCGGGCCCTCGGTTGCCACCGGAAATCACTTGATCGAAGACGGCGGAAATGCCACTGCCGATGCCGGCTCAAACAGTCCCGTATGGCCTGCGCTGGCGATCCAGTCTTTTTCCGAAGTGGGATGGGCGACGGTGGTGGCTGGGTGCTGCCGTTTCCGATACGGAGAGGGCGTCGTCGTCGTCCACGCTGATATGGGTTTCAGCCGAGGTTCGACGACGAAGAGGAAGTACATAGGCTAGGACAAGCTGCGGAGGCTGGGTCGGTCTGTTGGATGGGAGATGGCCGCAAGCGAGGCGAGCGGATCGGCAGCCCAACTTGAGCAGATGAAGACGGAAGCGATGGACGTCGCAAATGAGGTATGTGCGTCGGGGACATGGCGGTCCGTTGCCGCGCCGCGCCGCGCCGGGCTGTCTGTCGAGAGGCAGGCAGGCACGGTATGTACGTACTTCTTTGAGCCCTTGGGTGGCAACCGGGATCCATTTCGCGCCCGTCGTCCTGATCGTCGCAAGTTGTCAATGGCAACGCACCCTCGTCGTACGTCGTCCCTCGTCGTCGTCGTCTGTTGTGGTCGGGGCTGCCGACGTTGCAGGCGGCAACGACAGAGTAGTTGTTCGGTGGCCTCCTTGGCGTGTCCAGGAGTCGACCGGCCTCTGACCTCGACGACGCGACGGTTCGCCGACCAGGCCAGGCCTGCCGTATGCAGGATAGGACTTTGATTGCCGCGGATCGTTGGCACACAACCAGACGCACGAAGCCTGGCAAAACCGCGCGCCACTTTGAGGTGCGGCCGAAGTCAGGCCTGCGGCTGCGGCGGCGGCTGCGGCTGGGCGTCGTCCGTTGTCGCGTCTGCGCCGCTTACATGCGGCCCCGTCCGCTGTCCGTTGCGTCTGACACGCGGCGCAGGCGCCCACCGAGCGGTCATCGATCGAAGCACTCCATCTATCAATGTGGTCCTGTACATACAGTACGACGGACAAAGGTCGATCCTGGCGCAGCGCGTCTCTTCGGCCCGGTTTCATGACGATCCCCTCCCTCACTTGCTCGCCCTCGTCTGCGCAACTGAGCGCTCGGACGGCTGCGAGTAACTTGTGAGGCAAATGACCACCTGCGGGACAGAGACGGCCGCTCCCCGCTCGGTAGGTCTATCAAGAACAGCCAGCACGCACGGGCGTAACTACCTCAAGCAAGCAAGCGAGCTGGAAGGCCAAATCAATTGCCGCTCGACTAGTGCGGATGCACGCAGCTGCACATACACCAGTAACGTGGCTCTCGCTCCATAGTTGATCCGCGGATGTGCTCAGCTCCTTGCCCTCCTCTTCTGTCAACGCAAAAGGCCGGCCGCCGCCGCGGCGACACTCTTCCCGGTCATCTCTACATACATACCTCCTTCTACAGTACCAGGTGACGCGGGGTTGTCCTGCTTGCCTGGCTTTGCAGGATGCGCCCACGCCTTCTGCTGAACCCTTGCCTTGAGTCTCGTTCGACCTCGTCTAGAAGAAGCGAGCACGGGGAAGCCCTAAACGACATCGTCGTGGACAGATGGACGACGGGACAGCGCATCCCGTGAGCTTCGGCGCACGCGACACGGACGGCTGCCCACTGTGAACGGTCCAGGCGAGCGGATGTCGTAGCCGCGGACCGATACCGCCGCTTCACGCCGGTGGTGCTGCGATGCTTTGGCTGCGATGGAGAAGTCAGTCCTGGACGGGATCTGGTGCCTCGCACGGGGGGAGGCGGCAGCAAGAGCGAACGGACGGCGCAGGCAACCAACACCTCCCCCGCTACCATGACGACCAAATCGCTCAGCCTTACACCTGCACAGCAAGCAGTTACGTTCTCCTTCCCCCTCCTTCCCTCCTGGCCCTCGGCCCGTTCCCCTTCGCGATGGCTAGACGAGTCAACGGAACGGCCGGGTAACTCGACCGTCTGCCTGGGCCCCATCGTTCTTGCCTGCACTGTTGCCACGTTCGTCTCCGCCGCCGCTGCTGCTGCTGCTGCTGCTGCTGCTGCTGCTGCTGCTGCTGCTGCTGCTGCTGCTGCTGACGGTGCTGGACAAGCATTGCAGCGGCTGGCCATGCCCGACGTCGATCGAGGATCGACCGCTCTGCTCGCCCCCTATCTCCATCCAGCCCCTCGACCGTCCAGAGGGTATAAAGTGACCGCTGAGGCCATCGTCTTGATCTCGTCCCCATCACCTATCTCCTCACTCACCTTCCACCCTCCCCTCCCTCCACCGGTCTTCCAGGATGAAGCTCTCGTTCCAATTCAGCGCGGTGGTCGTGCTCCTCTGCACCATCCTCCCGGCCCTCGCCGACAGCCACGTCAAGACGGTGCACTGCAGGGACACGGCCGCTTCCGGCGCTGGCGCCCGCCCCGCCGCCGGCTCGCTGGCCAGCAACAACGTCAAGGCTGCTTCAGCCGCTCCGGCTGCCCAGGCCGTCAAGGCCGCACCGGCGGCCAACGCTGCCCCCGCGGTCAAGGCCGCCGTCGGCGGCAAGGTGTGCAACATCGTCGACTACGGTGCCAAGGGCAGCGCCGACATCGGCCCCGCCATCACCAAGGCGTTCCAGCAGTGCGTCATGGCCGGCGGCAGCGCCAACAAGGTGCTGCTGATCCCGCAGGGCAACTGGGTGCTCAGCAGCCACGTGCGCCTCGACAAGGGCACCGACTACACCTTCCAGTGGGACGGCCAGGTGACGCTGCCCCACGACGAGAGCATCGGCGGCGGCGCCATGGTCACTTTTGGCTACTCGCAGCGCATGCTCCTGAAGGGCAGGGGCAAGTTTATCGGCGGCGGCGTCAACTGGCGCGCAAACGGCCTCAACAACAACCGGCCGCGCCTCATCAACTTCTTCAAGTGCGCGGACAGCGAGGCGACGGGCGTCCACCTCGACGACTCGCCCATGTTCTTCCTGGGCCTGTCGCAGTGCACGGGCATGAAGGTGCACGACATGGTCTTCTCTTCGCCCCCTCCGTACAAGGGCAGCACCGACGCCGTCGACGTGTCGTGCACCAACTGCAAGATCTGGAACCTGGACATCACCAACGGCGACGACTCGGTCGTCATGAAGTCGCCCGCCCACAACGTCGAGGTGCGCAACGTCACCATCCGCCACGGCTACGGCATCGGCATCGGCACCGCGGGCAAGAACGGCGTCTTCGACATCTCCAACATCTACGCCTCCGACATCCACCTCATCGACGCCACGGCGGGCCAGTACACCAAGAGCTACCCGAGCGCCACGGGCGTCATCCGCAACTTTACCATGGAAAACGTCACGCTCAAGAACGTCGCCAAGCCCATCGCCATCGACCCGTTCTGGGGCGGCGGATCCATGGACACGCCCGAGTCGGGCGTCGGTCCGAGCAAGCTCATCATCCAGGACTTTACCTTTAGGCACTGGAGAGGCACCGGCGACGCCACCACCCGCCCCACGATTTTCCTCAACGGATCGCCCGCCGCGCCCATGAAGAACATGGTGTTTGAGGACGTCGTCCTCGGCAAGGAGGGCAACCGCAAGCCCGAAATCAAGATCCTCAACGCCTGCGGCTCCGGCCTGGCCCAGCTCAAGAGCTGCGGCGGCGGCAGCAACAAGAGGAGCTTCCGCGCTTGAGCGGTGGGCGGATGGGCGGCGGAGGCACGCCCAATGGCAGCGACAGCTGTGTCCACTTCGCGTGTCTGGTTCCCTGTCTTGACGGTTGAAGGACCTCTTCCCAGCTCGGACTTCTTCGGATCGCGACGTCACTTTCCCTCTCTTTACTGTTATCCTGGATCGCAGGAGACGCTTGACTGGCCGCTCGAGCCATACCTTATGCACGGGAGACATGTCCTGAGCCCGCGAATCCATTACCATTCCGTGTCACTTTGCCCCCGAGCCGAGATTCGATACACGACTGCGACGGTGCTAGAAGCCAAAGGTGGCATAGAAGCCGACGGCCATGCTGACGAGGGAGAGGGCGACCCTGACGTTGTGCAGCCTGGTCCACTTGGCAAAGAGGGCCTCGACCTCGTCGTCGTCGGCGGCGCTCGCGGTGGATTTGGCATTGGCCAGGTGGGCGTAAAGACGATCATTGACCGGCTTGATGGCCAGAACCTAAGTGAAGCATCAAAGACACCACGTCGCACGATGCAACGTCAGATCCCGGCGCGACATGATCGTCTGCTCGGCGAACGCATCCCTGAGTTCCGACTCACGGTGAACGGCACGACGAGCGCGCTAAAGACGCCGGCGACGACGTACAGGTTGATCTTGCGGTTGGCGACGACGTACCTGCCACGGTAGGCCCAGGTGGAGAAGAAGGCGAGGGCGGTGAGGGCGGTGGCGGGGGCGTTTGCGGCCTTGCCGCCCTCGTAGCCGCGCGACCACACGTCGAGGCGGTGATGCTTGCTGAGCGCAGAGACTGTGTCGCTGCGAAGGAAGGTCTGGTTGTAGATCAGGGGGTAGCTCAGCATCAGACCTGCGTCAGAAAAGGGCAGAGCAGCGAGATGGCGTCAGTCGTCCGCGTGAGACTTGGTCGAGGGAAGGGGACAGGTAGGGGCGCTCACCGACAGAGATGCCCGACATGCCGAGACCCAGCCCTACGACGGTGGCGAACGTCATGATTCCAAGCGGCGATAGGCTTTCGATGCGGTGGTGGAGTGAGAGTGCGAGGGCAGCAGTGGCTGGGTTGAGTCGCGATGGTGGTTGGCGGTGGCACACCTCCATGACAGTCTCGCACCGGCGCACCCCCTGGACCCTTGGCAAAGGGGCGGGCAGGTGCGAACGGGCCATCCGAAGCAGGCGGGGTTGATTTGAACCGGCGGGCAGGCCGCAGCGGGAAGCGCGGCCCCACGTGGGCTTTCAGGGCTGCTTCGGATCAGCTTCCGCCCCCCTCTATCTCCTCGACAGCCTGGACATCAGCATCACAGCGTCGGCCCCCTTCTCGGCCGCCCGTATCGAGGGTCGACTCGGATGCGACCCGATCTCTTCGGACGGTCCGGAAGCCGTGTCGGCTGCTCACGATGTCGGTCCTGCCGAACGTCGGCCTGTTGTTCTCGGGGCTGAGACAACGAAGGCGGTGGGTGGGCTGAGCACGCAAGAGCACGTCAAACCACGCCTGCCATACGCGCGGAGCGAGCAAAGGATTGTCCTGATGGCGACACCTCGCCGGGCTCGTGGTGGCATACCAAGCCCGCTGAGAGCCTTCCGTCGACTTTATCTTAACGCAACATCCGCCTCATCTTCTCAAACGCGCCCTTCGAGGAGCATTGGCGGGAGGCACGCCTTTGCGCTGTCATCGTCCACCAGTCGACACGCACAGCCGGCCAAGGACTGCGTTCGTCGAGTCGACGCGCGCTCGTGATACAGTCGGTCAGGGTCAGTCGTGAGCATGTCACAAGCAATGCCGAGGGCGTCGACATTGTCTTTGAGGCGCCATCTGCTCCTCTCACATATCTTGAACCCACCGTGACTCGCGAGCAGATGTTTAAAAGGCGAGGTGGGACCTGGTCGAAAATCTCCCTTGACCTTGAGCCTTCTTCTCTGCCCCCAGAACAATCATCGACATCGACAGCAAGCGACCTTGACTCCCTCGCAGCCTCCTTGAGCTTCCCTGACTTCGGCAGTCACAGATCCCTCCGACCTGCAACGAAACGATGAGCCAGCACGCGCTCCCCAGCTCGTCCAGGCAGCATCCCGAAGCAGATCGCAAAGTCCACCATCGCTTACGAGGAAGCCTGGGCAAGTCACACTTTGCCATTGACCCGCACGCGCTCGCACTTCCGCCGAACTCGCCCACGGGCCTCGCAGCAACGAAGCGGACCGTGCCGTCCAAGTCCAGCGCCACACGGAGCGAAGAATGCATCTTTGACGAAGTGCCGAGGAACGGCAGCTTCGGTGCTTTGCTGCCCATCCTTTCAAGGTTGCCGCGCGACTTGGCGGCCCGCGATGATATCGAGCAGGTCGAGGAGGAGACAGAGGACTTCTCGGGCACAGACTCGGCGCTTGACTACCTCCAAGGCCGGACCGTCCCCTACACTCGCTCTCACCTGCCCCAAATCGACGAAGCCAGCCTGGCGCTGTGGCAGTCGTTGCACCACTTTCGACCTCTCACCGCCGACTACGCCTCGGGGTACATCGACGAAGCGGTCACCAAAAAGCGGCGGAGCGCCACCGACGCCTCTCTGTTGCCACCTCACCCGATCTCGCCCTCGTTTGATGGACTGGACATCTCGCACTGCCCCGCCTTTACCGCCTCAGACGCAGCGATCACGACGATCCGACGCGTCTTCAACTGGCAACTGCTCCCCGCCCTGCCACTCTCCATCTCGGGGGAGTGGTACGGCGTCGTGTTCCGCTCCGTCCGTCGAGCCGGCTCGGAATCGACGTCGTTCTACGAGGCCGACCGGTTGGCACACGAGGAGGCGGTTCGGAGCGGAGGACTGCTCATGTACTGGTACGGTGCCCCCGATCCCAAGACGGGCGAGAACCTCGCCACGTGCATATGGACCAATCGCCGCGATGCGATACGGGCGAGCAGACTCGAGCTGCACGGCAAGGCGGCTAGACTGGCCAGGGATGCGTATGACGTGTACGACCTCACGCGATATACCGTCCGCAAGAAGGCGGGCGAGGAGAAGCTCAGCGTGGAAGAGTGGCGGGACGGGGAGAGGTGATCGGTCCGCGGGAAGGCGCTGGTCGCTGTCGAATGAACGCTTGGTCCATGTGTCGTCGCTGCAGATACGCCGAGTCGCTCAGATGCGTCGCTTGGCTGAGGCCTCTCGATTGCGATGGTCAATCGTGCTCGCTCTTTCCCTAGAAGTACATGCGGCTGTTGTGCTGGCCTGGTGGCGGCGGCCCCTGATTCAGTCCCGCTCAAGGTCTGTGACGAAGGGAGCAGGGATGAGGCGTGGAGTCAGTATTCGCTTTGGTTGATGCCATGCAATCAGACACCCGGAGTCGACAAGACGAGTACGCACTGATGTTCTCTCCGAACTTGGCATACAGCTTGACCTTGAGCTGTTTCATCCCCTCGTCGTACTCGTCGAGCTTGGCCTTGAGTGCGTCGATCTGCTCATCGGCCTCTGCCTGGTCCCTTTCGAGGCGCTCCATGGCAGCAGCGTGGGGTATAGAGACGAACGAGTCCGCGATCTTGTAGAGCACCTCGTCGTCCTCGTCTGCCAGCTCGAGCTCCATGGCGAGGTCGTCGAGTGCCTCCTTTTCCTCGCGCTTCACCCGCAGGTCCTCCTCGACGTCAGAGTAGGTCGAGTTGAGCCGAGAAAAGGCATTGATGGACTGCTGATCCTCCCACGACACCTCCACGTCGTTCTGATCTTGTTCATTGAGCTGTTTGGCCAGGGGAGGGTTGCAGGCAGGGGGCAAGCGCGGCAGGCCTGCGTCAGTCACGGTCTCACACGCGGTCCCTGTAGCACTGTCGGGCGCGGAAGACTGGCTCACCATTCGCATCCTGACGGCCAGGTTCTGTAGGTGTGTAGTCGGATATTCCAAAAGGACGCGTGCGGGTGTTGCCTCAATCGAGCGGTAGTGTGCGGCGGTGATGGTGGTGGTGGTGGTGGTGACAGGCTCCAGAAAGCAGGAAGAACGAGGGTCGATGGTGGTCAGTGCCCTGGGCCCTTTGCCAGACGCCAGAAGAAAGCAGAGCTCGGGACGCGGAGGCTGCGAGCCAGGCGGACGGGCCCCAGCGAGGCCCCTCGCTTGGGCCTCCTCTGGTCTGCTCTCGCCACGTCCTTGGCTGCTTGACCACCACCTCGACCCTCAGTACTGCTGCCCTATTCGCCTACGCTGCAACACCTGCCTTCGGCCCGTCCCGACCTTCCGCGCTTCTTCGTCGGGCCAGGCACCGCTTCGCTTGCCATTGCCGTCTTCGCTGGTCGGCTGGTCCGCCCTCGCCTTCGTCTCTTCGGGCCCTGCTCCGGCCTTGTCGCCCGCCTGGCCGCCCTTCTAGACCCCCTTGCTCTTCGGCGCTTCCGCCCCGACGTCGGGTCACGCCGAAGCTGCGATGCTGGTTCTTGTTCTGCTGGCGTTTTGCGCCACTCTGATCGTGCTGATCGGACTGCTGTTCCTCGTGCTCTACGTCGCCCTCTACCGCGCCCCCTCGACGACGTCCAAGGCGAGCCTGGGCAGGTCGGCCGCCGTCGTGGTTCTTGGCGACATCGGACGCAGCCCGCGCATGTGCTTCCACGTAGAGAGCCTCGCAAATGAAGGCTGGAAGGTCGCCGTCGTCGGCTACAAGGGAACCGTACCGCCGCCCCCGCTTCGCCGACCGTCGATCAAGCACCACCACCTCCGCACCCCGCCCGCCTTCATCACCCGCCTGCCTCGCTTCGCATTCGCACTCGTAGCACCCATCAAGGTCCTCTTCCAGAGCGTGTCCCTGTTCTGGGAACTCGCAGCGAGCGTGCAGCCGCCACCGGAAATCGTCCTCGTACAGACGCCACCGGCGCTGCCAACCCTCTTCATCGTCCGCCTCGTATGCGCCCTCCTCGGCAGCAGGGTCATCATCGACTGGCACAACCTCGGATATACCATCCTCGCCCTGCGAATGGGCGAAAAGAGCCCGCTCGTACGGCTTGCAGAATGGCTCGAAAGGATCACCGGCCGCAACGCCTTTGCCCACCTCTTCGTCACGAATGCCATGATGAAGCATCTCGACCGGCACTGGGGGCTAAAGGGCAACAAGGCCGTCCTTCACGACCGTCCTCCGTCGCACTTTCGGCGAACTTCGACCCAGGAGGTCCACGAGCTCATGTCCCGCCTCGCCCCGCAGATCCGGCCCTCGCTCGAAGGATTCTATCCGAGCTACTCGCTGCCGGAGTCGACGCCCTTTACCCGCCTGCTCACGGAAAAGGAAAGGGCTTCGTACGAGTACCGGTCGTACGGCTCTTCGGATGCGCTGAGGCCAGACTCGCCCGCACCAGGAACCTTGGACCGTGGCAGCAGCGATGGGCGGCCGCAAGCGTACCTGCGCGAGGATCGGCCTGCCCTCGTCGTCAGCAGCACCAGCTGGACGGCCGACGAGGATTTCACGCTCCTCTTGCACGCCGCTCGCATCTACGAGCGCAGGGCGAGGCAAGTCGCTGCCATCGCCGATTCCAACAGCAGCCGAACGCCACAGCGTCGCTACTCGACCCTCGTCGGCGACCAGATCTACAGCAGTCCGACGCGGGAGCACTCTCGCACGCCGCTGGTCGACTCGTTCAGCTCGCTCTCGTCGCCTGCCTCCGAGCAGCACTCCCAGGACCTCTCGCTCGACGTCGATGCGACGCGGACAAGCAAGGAGCGGCGCAGGCCGAGCTTCGGCACACTCAGGTCGGCCACGCTGCCCAACGAGCCCGCCGCTTCGCTGCCCAAGATGGTCATCGTGGTGACGGGCAAGGGCGAGCTCAAGGCGAGCTACGAGGCCGAGATCCGGCGCCTCGAGACCGAGGAGCAGTGGGAATGGGTGCGCATCCGCACCGCGTGGCTCGAGTCGGAAGACTACCCCAAGCTGCTCGGCTCGGCCGACGTGGGCATCAGCCTGCACTCGAGCTCGTCCGGGATTGACCTGCCGATGAAGGTGGTCGACATGCTCGGATGCGGCCTTCCCGTCTGCGCCCTCGACTTCAACTGCCTCGACGAGCTGATCCACGACGGCCACAATGGCCTCGTCTTCCGCGACGCCGAGGGCCTCGCGAGGCAGCTCGAGAGCCTGCTGGCGCTCCACCCGTCGTCCAACTGGCTGTTGATGGGCGAGGGAATGCAGAATCCTTTCGAGCCACCGACGACGACGAGGAGCAACTCGGCCAACGCCAGTCCCAGGGTCAGCAGCGGCGGCTCCAGCGCATGGCTCCAGCACAATGCGGTTCCACCAAGCCCGAACTCTTCGTTCACGCTGCTTCATAGCCCCGGCCTCGGCCCTGATGGCTTCGCAGGCTGGCCAAGGGTGCAGAGGAGCAGGACGTCGACGTGGGAGGGCAATTGGAAGACGGTGGTCCGGCCCATTCTGCACGCCGCCGACCTCGAGCGGGAAAGGGAGCGAGAGAGGAAGAGAGGCAGTAGCCGCTCAGCTGCGGTGTCGGGACGCAGAGCGGGCTCGTCGAACGGCAACAGCTCTGCGATCGGGCTCAACCTGCCCAGAGGAGAGCGACGCCAACTCTTGCGCAGAGGATCAGCAAGCCGGGCCAGCGACGAATCGGACGAGGACGGGAACGACGAGATCGATGCGGCCGGTGTGCGGCGGCAACCACACGGCTCGTCATCGCCGGGCTTTTACCAGATCGGCCAACGGAGCGGCGCCAGGGCGACCGAAGAGGCGGGCGAAGAGGTGCAGTCGCCCGTCGAGACCGAGGGGATCGCGCACGCGCAGAACCTGCCGCGCTCGTCGAGGCTTCGGCAGCGCTTCAGCGTGCGGCAGACGCCCACGGCCTCGCAGCTCGCCGCCGAGTCGCTTGCGCTCGACCTGGATCTCGACGACAAGCACGGCGATGGCAGCCTCGCCTCTGCAGGACTGGGCGGCACGGCGAGAGAGTCCGGGATCCCGCACATTCAGGTGTCGCATGCTGCCACCTGAGCTGACCCAGCGCAATGGAGGCGACCCGAATGACATGGAACAGGATCACGTATGCTTGCTGCTGATGCCCCTATGCCCTCGACGGGGTGATCCGCGGTCGCTGGTACCGTGGCGGCTTCTACGGACGTGTGTGTGAGTGCGGCCGGGCGAGCTGGAAATGCTCGCACTTCGCAGCCCGATGCCCTTTTCGATTGGTTTTTTTCGGCGACTTGAACGCTGCTTAGCCACGACCAGACCGGAAGGAAAGGTGGAAGCCGAAATGCCGCCGGGCCTCAAGGGTCCAGCTGGCCCTGACCGTGCGCCGCCACCGCCCGACCTTCGCTCGTTCGTTGCTTCTCGACCACCTCTTCTCGCTTTCGCCACCGACCGGTGCCTGCGACCCCTCCCACACCACACCATCCCCTTCCCTTCACCGTCACCGTCATCGGCTGCGCTGTACTAGAGCTGCCACGATCATGTCCTCAAGATCGCTTCGGACCCTCGCTGCTCGGTCGGGCCCTCTTGTCGCTGCCGGCGCTGCGCCCGCTGTGGCGGCGGTGACGATACGACACCTCTCAACCTCTCGTCCCCTCCTCAAATCCGACACCGCTGCCAGCGCAAATGAAACACCATCGAACAGGACCGAAGATGGTGTCAGCGGCTCACCTCATGCTACCGCCTCCTCTACTTCCGACTCCCCTGCCGCACCCGCAGCAATGGGCTCTTCAAAGCTGTTCCAAGATGCCCTCCTGGAAGAGGGCGATCCCGCCGCCAACAAATCGAGCGCCTCGTCGCATCCGATGTTCCACCCCGACCCGACAGATGTACCGTGGGACGGCGAGGAGAGGCTGCAGGATAGAGTGCTGCGCATGGTCATGGACAAGTACAAGCCCCTCCGCATCGCCCCGACCGAAGGAGAGGACCTCGTCGATCGCAAGCTCAAGGGCGTCCAGACACCCACCGCACCCGGCGTGGCGCCCGTCACGCCATCAGCACCATCTACATCGCTTCAGCTAGACGAGACAGTGGCGGACGGGGAGAAGGACGATCGTAGACTCCCAAGGACCCCCGACGCCAAGCCCTGGCGCGCCGTCTACGTCCGCCCGAGCCACCTCGGCGGCACGGGCACGCCCAACATCTACTACGGCCAGTTCCTCCAGTCCGCCTCGTCGTCCATGGCCGGTGTCCAAGGCGGCGGCGTGGGCGGCCCGAGCAGCGCCGCTCGACAGAAGCTCAAAGAGGCCGGCGTCAAGGTGTCGCAGCTTCCGCTCGACGACCCCAAGGCCATGCGGCAGATCCGCGAGGGAGTCAAGAAGCTTGAGAGGGTCAACAAGATCTCGCGCGCCCGCGACGGCGTGCTCGACTACCGACTGGGCAATCGGGCGGCCGTCTTCGCCTCGTCGTCGTCGTCTTCGGGTGCCTCTGCCGACGGTCAGGAGGATGGAGCAGCAGCGCAGCCAAAGGAAGCCGACCAGCTCCTCGCTATGGGAGGCGGAACGCGCGGCTGGGCCTCGGTGGTCGAGGAACGCATCCGCGCCGCCCAGGACGCGGGTCTGTTCAAGACCAACAAGCTGCGCGGCAAGCCAATGGAGCGCGACATCCAGGAGCGCAACCCGTTCCTCAACAGCGAGGAATTTTTCATGAACCGCATCGTCAAGCGCCAGGGCGCCGCTCCGCCGTGGGTCGAACTCAACGCCGAACTCGAAGACGAGGTGGGCAAGTTCCGCTACCGCCTCGTCGAGCAGTGGTGCAGGCGCGCCGTCAGGATGGTCATCAGCAGCGGGTCGATGAGGAGCGGCCTCGAGGCTCTGGACCACTCGCAGGCACCACCGCCCGCTGCCAGTAGCAGCGGCGCTGCGGCACCGGCGGTCTCGCCGTTTGGAAAGGAGAGGGACACGGCACCGCCGCTCTACAGCTTCATCCCGCCGGCGCGGACCGAGGGGGAACAGCGGACGCTCGACTTGGCGGCGCGGTACCGCGATCCAGAGTGGCTGGAGCGCGAGCGGGCCTACCACGCCCACGAGATCCAGCGCCTCAACGAGATTGTGCGGCGGCACAACCACCTCGCTCCCTTCCACGCGCGGAAGGGGCTCATGTCGGTCGACCGCGAGATTGGCGACCTCTACGAGCGCGCCAGGCCAGAGCTGGTCCGGAGGCTCAGCGCTGCGATTCGCGATCAGAGCGGCGCCGGTCGCGGCGCCGACGGGGCGGGCGCGGATGGCAAGAAGGAAAAGGAGGCAACGAGAGATGTGTGGGGCCGCATCGTTGCGTGGGGCGAGGCGCGGCCGACCGAGTCCGGGCAGCGAGGCGGCGGATGGTGGGGCAATAGCGTCGGAAGCGCGGGCGAGCGGGACTCGCCTGTGTCGTACCAGGACGGACGAGCGGGCGCTGATGAGGGAGCGGGCAGGCGACGTGCGGGCGAGACGCCTTCGCTCGGGCTCCTCGTCGCGCTGCGCAGGACCATCGACTGGGCAAAGGAGCGGATAGGCGTGTAGACGGAGCAGACGAGTCGCTGCCCGGCAGCCATTGTTTCCGTGGCCCCATAGAGAAATGCGAGCCGGTGCAGGCGAGATGCGCAGGTCTGTTCCCCAGCGAACAGGGTGAATGTGTGCTTCTGTGGATTTTGCATGCTGAGGAGTGGAAGGGATGCCAGGTTGTTCATCGACGTCACGGAACAGAACAGGCCTATGCTCGCCAAAGCAGGAACGCGATCTGGCCCAGGTCTGAGAAAACGGGGCGGAAGAGGACGGGGAAAGCGTCGCAGTGTCAGCATCGCTGTAGCACGGGCTGGCCTGGGACGGATTGGAGCATCTCGACTCACAGAAGTAGATGAAGTGTTTCGTCTCTGAGGGGCGGCGATGGCGGTGGCAGAGTCCGAACCGGAGGGCGGCGAAGAGTGGAAGGTCAAGAGGTCAGCCCTGAGCCCGCTGCTGCGCCAGAGCGCCCTTCTGCAGATCTGCAGCAACCATGCGCAGGCCGGGAGGGCACTCACCGTGGGTGACGTAGCTTCCATAGTTCTTTCCGACGACGGCGTGCCAGGTCGGGCCGAACTTCTGGTCCATGGAGCGCTTGACGTGGGCGGCGATGTCCTTTTCGACGCTGAACTTGGTGAGGGCGTCGGCGGCGAGGTCAATCACCTGCTGCTGCATCTCCTCGGCCATGTCGACGTTCTTGATAATCGCCTTTGTCGCGGCCGCCGCGCCAGCCGCACCGGTACCGGCGCCGGTCGGGGACGAGGCCTGTGCGGTTTGTGTGGACGGATCGGCCGAGCCGGATGGTGCCGTGGCGGGGACGTCGGACATGGTGCTGGTGGTATGTGAGGCGAGAGCGGAGAAATGCAGCTGGGTGTGATGGCTTGACGTCGGTGTAGAAGGAAACAGGGCGAGGACAGCGAGCGGATGAGGGGCGGGGGGTCAGCGGAAGACTTCAGCGGGGCAGGGGATGAATTCGAGTAGGAGCCAGGTCTCACCTCGAGAGCTCGGTCAAGGTCGCTCGCTCAACTCCAGGCAGGACAGCGCAGGCAGACGAGGTTGCTGCGGATGAGTGTAAAGAGGCGCTGGGAGGTTGGTGGTGGCGGAGTCCGATGAAGAGGAGGTGAAGCTGAAGATGACGTTGGTGTTGGTGATGGTGATGGTGGGTGGAGCTGCGGCGGCGAGAGGGGGCCGTCTACTGCTGCTGTCGGCCGGCCGGCGTGTTCTTCTCTTTTGACAGCGGGGCCCGTCCCTGGTTGACTCGTGGACCGGCAGGCCAAGCCTGCTGGACGGCCCCACCTCGCTCGGTCCAACTCCCGACGTTGGCCTGCCTGGCTCCTTGTCGGTCTCTGTCCGCGCTGCCGAGACTCCTCTCGGACCTTCCATCGTCAATCTAGCAGCTCAGCTCCAACGCCATCGGAGAGCACGTTCGACAGCACAACAGCCTCTGCGAGATCGTCATACAGCGGTTGAGGCCACGGGAGCGGCGAGCGAGCGAATGGCGGCGCGGGAGAAAAGAACCATGAATCCACCCCCCGCCCAACAACCGAGGCGTGGCGTTGTCGCCGCCAGCAGAGCACTTTTCTCGTGCGGCAGAGCATTCGGAGCCTGCTCCACATCTTTTGAGCTTGAACGAGGGCGCCGAGGCGGTGCAGGCGTGCATCAGCGCCCGACGGCAGGCAGCCCAAAGGCGGGCGGCAGGGTCCAAGCTAGTCTGGGGTACGGTGCGCTCGGTGGCAAATCCAGAGGAGTGGGGGGGTCGGAAAGGGCAGCGTCGGATGGCCCGGCCTTTGACCATCTCTTCCACCACCATCCACCACACGAGGTAAACCACCCGTTTCATTCGGTCCAGCCCATCACCCCCTTCGCCGTTCTCGGATCGCAGCCGACGACGATGTTGTCGGCCACACCGATCCACCCGGCGAGGGCGGCGCTGCGGTCCAAGCTCCGGCCCCCCGGAAGCGCCGCATCCCACCGCCACATATCTCACCGCTCCAACATCGCCGCCGGCCTCACTCGGCGCACCGCGACCTCCTGCGCCTCTCCGCAATCCTACCACGTCCTTTCCAAGGCTGCCGCACGCGTCTACGCAAGGTCGGCCTCCAATGGTGCTCGCGCGCAGGCAGCGAAGCTCGGTGGCAACGGTCTAGGCAGCTGGCGATCCTTCTTCGCGAGGTTCGCCGCCAGCCTCCGATCCGCTTCCATCCCTCGAGGAGGTGCTCGATACACCGCACTCTACACCTCGCTGATTCGACAGTCGCTTCAGCGAGCCGTGCTTCCCAGGCTCGGATCGCTTCGTCTCGCCATCGATGCGGGCGTCGCTCGGCAGCTCGCCAAAAACGTTTCGCCCATCTTCCGCGGTGCCGTCCAGGCCTTCACCGGGCTTCAGGTCCGTGCCGGCCAGATCTCAGGCGCTGGAGCGGCACAGTCGGTGTCGCACCGCCTCAACCTCTCCCGCCAGCCCGTCATCTCCTTTGCTCGCGGATCGGTCCGTCCCGGCACTGGCTTCGGCCCGCGTGCCCCCCTGGTCCCGCGCTCGCCCACGTACGGCGCAGGGCTGCAGACTGCGCGCAACTTTTCCAGCGGCGGCCGCGTCTTTGACAACCTCATCGTCAACGCTCCGCTGGCCGTCCGCCTGGCCGGCAACGAGCTCGACGAGAAGCGCAAGATGGCCAAGGCCAGCCCTGCCCGTGGACCGCGAAGGACGGCGGCCGCCATCACTCACAAGCAGCGCGAGGCCCAGGCCATGGACCTCGGACGCCGCCTCGCTGCTCAGGTCGCCTCCGGAGGTGCTGCTGCCGCCGCCGCTCCGTGCAAGTCTCTGAAGAAGGGCAAGGGCAAGCAGTCTGATCAGCCCGCTCAGTCGGATGCGGTCGTCATCCCTCACAGCACCGAGGCCACCGCTTCCGCCGTGGTCCTGCCGTCGATCGAGGACGAGCTGCCTTCCGTCCCCGCTTCGTACGCCTCGTCGGTCATGACCGACGAGGCCGACTATAGCGAACAGATGCTATCCTACTTCGAGATCCCGCCGTGGGAGGCACACACGCGGCTCACGATCCGTCGCGCCGAGCCGATCGCTACGATGCTCGGCGGCCGACCACCGCAGCCCGCACGGCCCGGCCGGGCGCTTTTCGACGACCGCTTTGTCGAAGACGCCCAGCTCGGCATCGAGTTTGAGGAGCGGCGATGGCTCAAGATCCAGGCCATCCTGCGCGCCCTCTACGAGCACGATCCACATCGCCACCTCAGCATCACCGAGGACGGCGACCTGTACATCGTGCTGGTGCGCGGCCTCCGGGCCGACGACGCAGAGCAGCTGATCAGGCGCCGCGTCGGGTTCGAGCTCGACTTTGTCGACTTTGAGGAACTCGCCATGCCCGACGGCCTCGACCTGTCCACCAGCCTTGTCGGCGGGGACAGGGCCGGATCGATGCTCATAGACAGGGACGGCCGCGAGGCTCCGGCGTCGTCAGACGTGCACGGTGACGCTGACCTCAGCCTGCTCGACGGCGGGTCCATCGCCTTGCCGCCGTCCGGTTCAGCGGACGAGTCGCCCGTCTCGCTCACCATGACGCTCCCCTCTTCGTCGTCTGCAGCCTCATCGTCCAGCCTCCTCCTCTCTGACACATGGGGAGAAGGAGGTACCTCTGCAGACGACGAGGCGGGCTTCCTCTACGATAGCCGCGAGTTTGTGCAGCACTAGCCCCGCCTCGATTCCATCTTTCCGCCCCCCTGTTCCGACCAGTCTCGCTCCCAACGACCTAAAGTTAACGAACGCCGCCCGGCCGCCGTCCTTGGACGACGTGCAACTGGCTCACTCTCTCTTCCAGACCAGCCCTCGTCGCCTGTTGCTTCTCGATGACCACTATCACCACCACCACTCTGCCTCTCTCGCCCGCTGTATATCTACCACCGTCCTTTCTCTCGCCTTTCGATGCTTGCCTGGCTTGGACGTATCATTCCTCATCTGCCCGATTTCACGCCCGTGAACTCAGCGGGTATATCTATCCGACATCGTCGACGACCGCCAGCTGCAGAATCAGCCTGCGCGCCACTCATCGAAAGTTGGCGGCGACGAGGGCCTCGACGAGACCAGGTGGATGGTGGAAGTAGTCGAGCGCAAACGTGGCCTTCCAGCCCATGCCCATGCCCATGCCCATGCCCATGCCACCATCCCCTCGTCCTCCTTCACTGTCGAGCTCGGCACAAAAGGCTTGGCAGAGTCCGTCGAGCAACCTGGCATTGACGCCCTGGACGGAAGCGCATCGGACCGTCGACGCACCTTCCCTCCAACCCGTCGCCACAAATGGCGGCAGGGCGAGCGGGAACGAGCTGGCGCTGGTAAAGTTGAGGCTCCACACGTCGTCGCTGCGTCCGCTGCTCTGCAGAAGGTCCCAGATGCGTTGCATCTTGGTTGGGACGAGGGCGAGGGAGCCAATGTCGTACCAGTCCTGCGTCTCGACGACCTGCCCCGATGGCAGCGTGTACCGAAACGAAAGCGGGGACGAGTTGGGCCAGATGGGCGGGTGGATCCCGCCCGGCTGCTCTCGAGACGTGCCAAAGCGGCTGATGAGGACCACCTTGCCGCGCACCTCGCCCAGCGTCGGGATGCGCGCATCGAGGTACCACCGTCGATCTGCCCCCGTCCTCCTTTCGTTGTCGTCCTCGAGTCCGAGGTGGTCGCGCAGCACCGTCTCCTTGAACCCGGGCAAGTCGTTTTCCTGCTTGACGCTCATCACGACCGTCTCGCCCGCATTGGCCTCGAGGAACGCGTAGGTGTCGTCGAGGATCGAGGCAAAGTCGATCTTCTGGTCCGACACGCCGTGGTAGGCCAGCAGCCGGCCCCCCTTGAGGGAGAGTCGGATGTCGAGGAAGCGGATGCCGCGTTGCAGCTGCTCCCGGATCGTGTAGGCGGACGACTGGCACGTCGAAATCGGCCAGCCGTACCGCGCCGCCGACTCGTGTGTCCCCGGCAGCGTGAGTGCTGAGAGGAGCAGGGACGAGGGGAGACGGGCGAGGAAGTTGCAAAGGTCCGCCGAGGGGAGCAGCAGGAGCGAGAAGGGCTGGGAGGGTGACGGCGAAGAGGCATAGGCGAGAAACGGCGGGGACCTTGCCACGCCCTTTTCGACGACATCGACCGGTCCCAAGGAGAGGAGGGACCAGGACGGCGAGTCGCCCGCTGCGCCACCTTGACCAACATCTTTGGCGTCCGCCGCCGCCGCCGCCGCCGCCGCGGTGCGCACTCTACTGGACGTAAAGACCGAAGCAGCAAAGCGCTGTGATCCGGCTTGAAGGACGAGACGCAACGCTGCCCGGCCCGCAGCAGCAATGTCGAGGACGGCTGGGATGCTGACCTTCTGTCGCGGCCTGGCCGTCGTCGCCGTCCGCGATTCGTCACCATCAGCAGACGCAGAGACCTGTACCGCGAGCGAGGTGCGGTTGTAGACGACCACGCTCGACTCTATCGAAGAAGTTGCCGTCCCGCGTCGACCGGGCGCCGCAGGATCTGCGAGAAGGGGCGTGGTGGGCATGTCGTCGTCGTCGTTGTTGTCGTCGTCGTTGTCGCCGTCGTTGTCGCCGTGGTAGCAACAGCAGTGGCACTGATCGAGGTCGTGATCGCCATGTCTGGAACCGCCTCGGTCACCGTGGCGGAGGAGGTGGTGCGGAGCATCTGCCAGGTCGACGACCAAGGAGGTCCGCGTCGGGACGTTCGTAGCCGAGCGGGAAGCAAGCAAGCAAGCTTGCAAGAGCATGCCAAGCAGCCGCGAGCGCGGGCCCTGAAACGCAGCGAGGTCGCCTGTTGGATGTGGAGGCATGGTCCACTCGCACGACACAAGCAGCTGAGCCGTCAGGAAGGCGGTGCGGGACATTATGGGCATGTGGTCTCTCACTCAAGCCACGTGGATCCGAATATCGCGCTCAGCCAGCAAGCAAGCGGTCCAGGCCATGCCAGGCTCGTGGTCGGGCTCCCGGCGTCTTCTCGGCTGGCCCGGACCACCCTGGCTTCGCTCGGAGCGACCGGCAGGCGGCGAGGCTCGAGGGTCTCGGACTGTCCATCTTGCTGGAATCTCGCTGTCCTCTTCGCTCTTCGACGACGAAGCTTGACAGCGGACGAGACGGCCAAGGACGCTCGCTCTTTGGATATCTCCCAGGTGGCGACGAGATCGGGCCCAGGAAGAAGCGATACCGTACGTGGGCGGGCGACTGCTTGCGTCGACGTGGAGGTGAACGAGGAGATGGTGGTGGTGGTGTGGCGTGACAGGTTCGGCTGGCCGGTCTGGCAGGCTGCGTGCGCAGCCGTACAGACGCACGCTGGCGTGCCCTGCTTTGTGCTGACTTGTGCCGAGGCAGGCCAGGCTAGGCTAGGGGTGGCTGTGTTGGTCTCCTGCGTCGTCACAACATCCGGCAGGCAGGCAGGGGGCCCCTCTTGGAAACCAAGAATCTGAGCTTCAAAGGCCAAGCAAAGCGAGAAAGGGGGCCGGCGCGGCGGGAGTTGGCCGACCAGCGTCAAGAAACAGGGGCCTCCTGGCCGTCTAGGTGCAGCGCAAGCGCAACCCGACTTGACCGCGACCTGCTGCTCTTTGCTCGCTCTCCGACAATACGGTAATCGATCAGCTCGCTCTTGGTGGTTACGCTGCTGCCGTCTCCTCGTCATTCCGTAGGCAAGCAAGGCGTCGATGGATGAGGCCGACAAGGGGAAGAAGGGGCAGAGTGGGAAAGCAAGGCTGCTAAAACTTTGCCAACAAAGGGAGGAGGAGGAGGAGGACGGACAGGCGTGGTTTGCCACACGCACACGTAACGGGCGGGCAGGCCAGCGGCAAGCAAGGTGGAGGGGGCGGGCCTGCCAAAGTTTGTCTGCGGGCATCGGTGAGGCACCGCCGAGCGAGCCCACTCTCTTGGCCTGGGCTGGCCTGGGGCTGGCCTGGGGCTGGCCCGGGCCAAGCTAGAGTCGGCCACCCCCTTTCTCGACGCAGCGAGCCCCTCGTCGCCGCCGTCGTGCCAGGGCCGGCCGTGCTGTTTCGGTGTGTGTCTCGTTTCGAGAAGAACGAAGCAGGCGGCGCGGCCACCCAGCCTACGTAGATGAACGCCTGCCCTGACCCCCCTGCCTTCGCTTTCGTCACCTGCTCGCTGCTTATCGACCACCATCACCATCACCATCGCCATCGTCAACCGTTACGACCATCTGCCTGCCTGCTGTCGGATCGGACCGGCCGCGTTGCATCACCACCGCCTCGGAACTCCCCCCGCCCTGCAACGAATCAGCCCGCCGCGCCCGTCACGCCCGCCCTCGCTGGCTTTGTCTGTTCAATAATCACCTCTGGCGTTGGTACATCTGCACCCACCCACTTCTGCCACCCAACCACCACCCGCCACCCTTACCCACCCACCAACCTAGACACAATCGACCGGAACACCGTCCTGCTTGTCCCTTCTCTAGTGCAGCTGGCCCACCGCACTGCAACCCACCACGGACCGGAGCTGGCCCAAGCTTTCCTCCTGGACCGCCGCACCCTAGACGCTCCGAGCGCCCTAGCCTGCGCCCGTCGCCCAGACGACACCTTCCCCCCCCCCCCCCCCTGGCCAGCACGCGGTATCTGTTTTCGCCGTTGTTGACCGGGCATCGGACGACAGCCGACGAAGTTTCATCTCGCCGGAAACCAGAATCTAGGATAGGAGAGCCCCGCACAAGACAAGACGCAAGCGTTACGTTGCCTACCGCTCCGGAGATGAACCGACCCTTCCGCATGTTTGAGCGCAGGAGCCTCGCCGAGGAGCTCCTCTGGCCCGAGAGGCTCGTCAACCGACAGCTGCTGTGAGTGGCACGAGAAGCCGAATCCCCGCTTCCGCCCCACCGTACCTCGCTGGGCGGGTCAACGGCGGATAAGAGTCGTCCAGCTCTGGTCGAGGGCTGTCAGGTAGAGAGTGTGGTCGACGCTCTGTCAGTGCTCAGAACGCTCGCCGTCCCTCGCCGGCCCTGCATCGTGACTTTGTCTCGCCGTGCGCAAGGCGCAGAGAGTCGGCCGGCGTCGGCGGCGGCAGGCACTCTAGCCCAGCCTAGCCTTCTGCGTCCCCCATGATCGACTCTGACCAGCAGACGGGGCGTGGAGCTTAAGAAGCTTGGCTTTGGGCTGCAGCTTTGCGGCCATGTCGCCAGTTAGTTGCCTTAGAGGCCCTGGCGCTACACAGACTCTAGCTGCTCGGTGCCAAGTCTTCACCCTCGCTCGGGGCTTGACCTCCTCTCTCGCATCGATCAGCTCGGGGACTGACATCGACCATGTCTTCTCCCCTCTCTTCCCCTCCTCCTGCTTCGCCTGCTGCCCCTGACCCTGCCGCCGGTCCCGCATCTCCTCTCACCCCTGCTCCTGCTGCCGCCGGTGCTGCTGCGCCCGACGCCGCCGTCTCTCCTGCTCCTCCCGCCACCGACGGTGCTGCCTCGTCCACCTCGCCTCCCCGCCACTCCTCGAAACATTCCGCCAACGCCAACATGGATGCCTCGCAATCCAACACTACGCCCGACAATCCCCGTGTCGATGCCGCCCAATCGTCGGACCCGTCCACTGCCAACACGCCCGCGACCTCGAACACCACACCGCCTGCGGATCCTTCCGCCCCTGCCGCCCCTGCCGCCCCTGCAAACGGCAACGCTGCCACCGGTACGGGTACTGCTCCCACCGACAACGGCATTGGCTCGCACCGCAATCCTGCTCACGACTCCGATGCTGGCGGCAGACCTGGCGTCGGAACCAACACAGGCGGAGCGGCCGGCACTGGCGACACTGGCAGCACTGCCGGCGGTGGCAACACGGGCACGGGCGGCGGTGGCAACACAGGAGGCACCACGGCTGGCGGCGGCGGCGCGACGACCGCCAA